CTGACTTGGGGTAGATCACCACCATAGAGCAATGTGTCACGGATCCTTGACAAAATGGGATCTCTGCTAGTTGCCTGAGTGATAGCTGCAGATGACAGAACTAGTAAATATTTGCCTTCCAGCATAAACATATCTGCTGGGACCTCCACAGGGAAACTCTTAGTTTCTAATGGCAACCGGCTCAGTCCATCTGCATGGCCAACGGTTTGTCCTGGGCGATAGACCAGGGTGTAATTGTAAGCCGACAACAGAAGAGCTCATCGTATGACTTGCGGGGAGCTGCTGTTGGGAATAGCTTTACCATGGCCAAACAGTGCGAGCAGAGGCTTGTGGTCCGTGACAGCTTCAAAATGTCTCCCCCACAGGTACTGCCGAATCTAGTGACCCCAAAAATCAGTGCAAGTGTTTCACGGTCCAGTTGGCAATAGTTTTTTTTCAGCTGGTCGTAGGCTCTTGGATGCAATGTTTGCAAATGCAATGGGACACTTTATGCCATGAGAATCGCACTGGGACAGTACAGCTCCAAGCCCAAAAGGGGAAGCATCACAAGCAAGTACGAGTTCCTGCTTAGAATCATAATGCCCTAGGACTGGTGCTGAAGTGAGAAGTCGCTTGGCTTCAGCAACTGCATCCTCATGTTCTTTTTGCCAGCACCATGGCACTCTAGCTTATTGCAATTTGTGCAAAGGATGAAGAACATCAGAAAGGTTAGGCATGAACCCTCTGTAGTAGTTAACCAACCCTAGGAAGCTCTGCAACTCTTTGACGTTGCCTGGCAGAGGAGCGTTGACGACTGCTTCGACCTTCTGTGGTGTCGGATGTGTCCGAGGTACTCCACCCTGCCCATCATAAGTTTACATTTGCTGTATTTCAGCTTGAGTCTTCTTTCTTCCATTTACTGGAAAACCTTGTCAAGGTTGCTGATGTACTCCTTGTCAACCGTACCCATCGCTAAGATGTCATCGAAGTATACCACTACGTGATGCAAACCCTGCAGGAGAGTCTCAATCTCTCGCTGTAAAATCGAAGGGGCTGCTGAAATCCCAAAAGGCAGCCTCTTGTATTGGAACAAACCCTTCGGTGTGTATTGTAGTGAGCGTCCTTGAGGAGGGCTCCAAAACTAACTTCTGCAAAGCATCCTTGAGATCAATTTTAGTGAACTTGACTCCTGAAAGTTTTGCCCACAGCTCTTCAGCCTTGGGAATGAGGTACTTGTTGGCTACAGCAACCGGATTGATCGTAACTTTATAATCTCCACAAATGCGCACACCACCATCTTTTTTTAACACCGGGACAATTGGTGCTGCCCGTTCGGATGAAGTGACTGGCTCTAGGATGTTTTCTCGCTGGACCCTCAAAAGTTCTTCACATATCTTGTCTATCAGTGCAAAAGAAACTGTATGGGCCTTGAAGAAACGTGGCTTTGCTGCCTCATTAACTGCCAGTTTAACAGACACACCAAGAAACGTGCTTGGGCCATCCAAAAACAACGTTGGGTGCTGGTCAATTATCTGCTGGACGTGGCTCAAGGAGTAGACATCGGCGATATTGTAAATGGGTATGTTCAGTGCTTCATTGCAATCCCTTCCTAGGAGTGATGGAACATCACCTTCAGCAACAAGCAAGGAAAGTACCTGAGTGTGGTCGTTGTACTTTGCTGATACAGTTATCTTACCAGTCATGGGTTTAATGTCACCACAGTAACTTCTGAGCTGGATGTTGCATTGCTAATGAGGCAGTGATGGAAATTGACAGCACCAAGTTGCTTCTCCTATGATCGACACACTCGCGCCAGTGTCGAGTTCTATTTGAAATGGGCAGTCTCTGTACTTCAAGCAGCACCATGAAAGGCTTCAGTGCAGACGCATTGGACCTTGGGACCAACTTCCACATGTTGTATACAGTTTTCTCGTCGGATGTCGAATGGGAGCTGCGCCGTACTGATTGAGTATGCTATGATGCGGGTCCTCAAGAGCATGGACTGGAACATGTTTGTTAGCATTGTTCTTGTTAACTCGCGCATGGAAGTGCGGCAGTTGCTGCCAGCATCTTTCGACAGGCACACCCTTGCTAGGGGGCCCAACTTCTTGCAGTAACTGCAAGTTTTGCGAACGTGCGGACACTCCGTGGCGTAGTGGGCATCACCGCATCGGTAGCAACTGAGGTGCTTTCTGTCAGACGTCATGAGCGTATTCACATTCACAGGCCTGGCTCCTTCCGTCGCACCAAGCTTAGACGCATCACGTTTGGCGGACTCCATGGCGAGAGCCGTAGATACTGCAGTTTCAAGTGTGAGGTTTGGCTTCTAAACAAGGCGAGTTTGTACTTGCGGGTCTCTTATGTCGCATACGATGCGGTCATGCAGTAGGTCATTCAGAAACGTGCTGAACTCACAATGCTCTGAGAGCTTCTTGAGGTTGGCAACAAAGTCGCTAACCAATTCGCCCTTTTCACGAACGCGACTATTGAACTTCAAACGACTTACCACTACCGACGGCTTCGGCCAAAAATGGTTGCTCAGCGTTTTCAAACAGTCATCGAGAGTTGTTTCAGTCGGCTTGTTGGGTGCAAGAAGGCTGCGCAGAATAGAGCAGGTGCACGACCCGCAGCTTCTGAGGAACACTGCACATTGCTTGTCGTCCGGCACATCATTCGCCACGAAGAACTGCAGCATTCGTTCAAGATATTCTTGCCAGGGACCATTGTCTGGGTCGAACGGCTTCTAGTGAGCCGTACTTCCGCATGTTTCCGTTAGTAAAGTTTTTACCTCATTGCCAATGCTTATATATTATTGGCGCATAGCAGATGAGTAACGACACGACAGCTGTTCTTGCTGGCGGTGAACTGGCTGCCTAGGGCCCACCTCTGCCCTATTGTCCTTTATTTAATATAACACCCCTCTTACCTCCCATCCGCTGCACAGAACTGTGGAGGTGCCCTCCATTGGGACAGAGGCAGTAATGGAACTGCACTTATTCGCTACGCAGTGCGCCGCTTACCTGGATAGCAGCCAAGGTCGTCCGCATGGGGACTTCCCCTTTCCGTCGCTGTTTCGTCCCCGACACTTGCATGGGCTAAGTAAGGCACCACGAGCGGCCGTCACACCGGAATCAAGGTTCTCGGCCGACAACAGGAAGCACGAGGTAGTCCGTCAGCTACCACGTTGGTTGTGTGTTCACTACCAAAAGGGGGTTAAAACACGAACGGGTGCTTAAGGGTACTCGTCGATAGAAGCGATGGCCTCTTTGTGCAATGCGGCATCCGCCTAAAAAGGTCAGCAGACAAAAATGCCACGAAGCAGGCATGTTGCGACGAGCCCGAATCGCGCAGGCGAACTGACTTGCTAAGAGCAGTTAAAAGCTTAAAGCTTTTGATACCACGTTGGGCGCCAGTGTAGTGTACAAGTATCCCGAAGGAGTACGGCCAGTAGTGTGGGTCTGGTCTTAGCTAGCTGAAGGGCAAGCGTTAATCGTTGCCGTGGCGAGAACACGATACTGCTCAAGGCCGCAACACTTTATTGTCTGCAGCAACGCCAAAAACGCAGTACAGAGCCCGTTGCACAGGCGTGGCAGGAGAGCAAGTGGGCTTATCCACACCACGGGCGAAAAGTACTACACAGGGGTGCCACGAGCACGTCCCCATGGTTCACGAAGACAAGCGAGGGCAAAGGCGCTCACGTTGGCTTCGGAGAGATACGGGACAGCGCAGCCTGGCCACGAACTAAAACACCGCACCGCTCTTTGGCCTAGTGTTCGGAAGGGGGGGCGACAAAAGGTAAGCGTTCGCCGCGGGCACAAGGTGCTGTTGGGGAAGTCTGAACGAGCCCCAAACATAGGGAACTCACGGCCGGAAAAGAAATGCGTGCTTGCCCCATGTCATCCCCAGAGAGATCTCTCTCACTCCCGACGCGCGCGCAAAATGTCCTGGGACACTTCGCGTGCGGCGCCACAGTCGACATTTGCTACCAGGTGAGAGGGGTTAAACGTCACTCTCTGCTGTCCCAGTGCGGCAGACCAGGGAGAAAGGGAGTCATGCCGAGACATGAGAACGAATAAAGAGGTGGCAAAGCCCGCGCAAAGGCTGCGGGCTTGCCTCAATTCCCACAAACTGTATCTGAAAGCAAGCTTTGAGGCTAAATAGCGTTCATACAGGCACTGATTCGGAAAACATACATTTATAGGCACTATAGATACGCTATGAAATCTCTTCTTAAAAGTGTGGCAGCTTGGGCTAGTTGGTCCTTCTTGTCTCTGTGTCGTCGTTTTGTTCTCGCGCTATAACTCTCGTCATGCCGCTTCTTAACCTCTAAATAATGCTAATGTATCAAAGTTGCACGATAGAAACAAGATGGGCATTTGCCTATGATCCGGTCTCTACTCATAAGTATATATGTAGGAAGCCTCTCCAACTTTTTTTTTTGTCACTTCAAAGTATTTGAAAAATATTCTAGATATGTTCAAGATATATCCGAAAAATATTCGGTTCAATTTACACTCACAGTTCAGTATTTGAATTTGCTTGGCACCCAAAATTTTGCTATTTGCTTAGCTCCAGTAATATCTTCATTTAACATTAAAATGGAGCCTCACGGCAGTGCGGATTTCTCCTAGATAGGTGCTTTCGCGGCTTAGCATATCTTAACTGCAGTAAAGCTGCCTTTACAAGGGGTTATCTTTTTGTTTATTTTGAATACTTCGAAATTTTCGATAATTGACATTCGAATAGAAACAAATTCGATACTACAACATTAGTTCGAATATTCGATGCATTCGACTATTTGCACAAGCCTAGAGGTATCAATGTTTTTTAGAGGATGTGCAGTGCACCTGTTTACAGTGTAAGTCAAAAACTGAATTACGATATTGGATCCTCCCAGGCTATGGGTGCAAGCTTAGTGACTAAGCTCAGACCATAATGCTCCTTGTCTTTTCAGACTGAGTTTGTTTTTAATATGGTACCTTGAGTTCTTACTAATGCCTACTTTTTCACTCTGCCCACAGCTTGGCCGAAAAAGTTTCGCTGCCCCTGTGCTTCCCCATTTTGACGGTGGCTCGCACACCCACTAATTCGCATCTCATCTGCAGCCTTAGCGACGGAAAGCTCGTCGTAATAGGAATCACGACGTCGTCACTCCGTTCTTTCTCCTGAACGTTCTCAACAGTCGACTCAGAAGCGCCCTCTGCATTCACGACCCAGGTGCCTGGAAGGGAACGGTCAGCATTCCCCGACACTCGACTCGCCAAGTACACTTTTTGCAGTCTCCACACTAACCCCTAACTTCTATATTGTGAGGAACACCACTGTAGCACAGAAAGCATTTAAAAGGGCTTGTGCAACATTTTAATTAATAAGCACACTTAAGTTTTGTTAACAATGTTGTTTTTATCTCGTTGGCACCACTGGTTGTGACAGTGAAATTGTGTGATTACTTGTTCCAGCACGCTTATTTACTAGAATGTAAAAGTCATATATACCACGTGTATACACTCTGTTTTGGAGAGAATGCTTACTGGCTAGAAGATTTGCTGCATTGTGTTGCATATTATGTGGCATTGTTGCAATTGATTGCGTTATACGGTAGTGGTCCTATGCAGGCAGTTATATCGCTTGTTTTGCTGTTCCTGTGATGCGCTGCACCATGTTGCAATTCTTAGGTGCAAGTGATTGCTTGAATAAATATATATATATATGCTATTGTACTGATGTGCGATCACCGCACTTTTGCAAGCCGAAGTGACAAGTCATTGTATCAGATGTTGACACAGGAATTTTGTATCATTTGGCCTTATCCGAGTTGGATACACTGAACGCAGACAGCGTGTACCATGAAAGTATGCACTTGTAGTGAAACTCAGCAACATTAGTTGTGTTGAATTGCATGTGGGTTGTGTGCAGTTCTTCAAAGCAGGCCCTTTGAAGACAGTGCATTAAGAATGAACTCTCTTGTGTTGCTTTTAATGTGATCATTTATTATTTTGACTCAGTCAGTGTGGTGGTAATGGTTTGCACTTTGATTTGATTTATTGCACATATTAAGTACGCATTTCTGGTGGTGGTCACTTGTGCACAACATAGAGAGATAAAAAAAAATCCAATTTGAGCTGTTTGAGCACTTCTGCTGGCCGTCATATGTATTTCAAGCTTGGTCTAACTAGGTTATTTTATAGGCATTTCAGCACTTTTGACATGTGGAGTGTCCCTTAGAGTTTGTGTCTCTAGAGTTGTATTGCATAGTTTTGCTTCCTCAAGCACGAGAGCAAGCAGCAAGTGTAGAGCGTTTCTTGCAAGGAAGTATTATAGAAGTGCAAGTACACAATGACCTTGTATCATAGGAAATAGGGATGCTCCGTACGTGTCCTAGTTTCGGACAGTGGCTGCAAAACAAGCCGTGAAGCTTCAGCTGTTTAGAGTTCTATTGTACAGAGTGCAGTGCCCAGAGCACAAGTACACATAGACTAGATTGCTATACAAGTCAGATGTATATACACAAATCGCGAGCATATATATATAGCGTAGTGACATACTTTACTACCACACCCTGTTGGGAAAGTTTTCACAGTTCTGCTAACCGTCAACGAAAGTGGGCAGAGTGAGTCACCTTGCCTGCGCATACCAGTGCGCAGAAATATCTACTATTGTGGAGGTGGTATCACATAATTTTCAGCTTCCTATCTATTCCATGTATATAAAATTGTAAGGAAAGATAAAATAGCTTATAAACGTGGTCAGAATGCTGCAGCCTCTGAACGAAGCAAAGCTGTGAAGGAGATTTTGCTTGTAGCTGTGTAACAAAGGTATGGTAGGTTACTAGCAAGTGGCTAATGAAACACCACATATGCTATGGTGCTAAGTATTTAGTATTGAAAATGCTAGGAGTGTTAACAGCACCCTTCGAAGGATGAAATTTACAAGAAAGCTGACAAGTGTGTTAGTGTTTACGAGATCTAGGCTGTTCATTACTGGCTTTCATTGTTGCATCATTCCAAACCTATTGGCAGGGTGTTGGCTAAGGCAGCAGTGATGATAATTTTATTTGTGAGCATTAGCCATTTAGAGACACCTTCACTACTCTTAGAAGCTGAAATGTTGAGTCAGTAATGCTGAGATGAACTTTATTAACACAAGGGCAGTGTACTTACACAAAGCAAGAGTGCTTTAAGTCACATCCTGGCTGCTTTTTTTTGTTTTTGTTGGGAAGTGCATTGTTGTAGTCACTTTATGCAATGTTATATGCACACACGAAACATCTGATGAGAGTCAGTCACAAACAGGCTCACAGGAAGCGAGCTCTTCAAAAAGAGTGTTCGCACCTAATGTTTACTTGTTGTGTTTTTTTATAATAATGCTTGTTATATGTGTATCTACATATATATATGTATACAGGTACCAGTTGGCGTTCATTGTTTTCCTAGACGAGATGAGAAGCCTTGTTTACAATTTACTGTGTACATTTATGTAAATACGTCGTGGAGAATGCTGGACACTGCAATTTATTTAATAGGCACATATCTAAATAAAACTATTGTAACTGCATTGTTCTTGCTCTCTGTGCTCATATTGACATGATTGTAGCACTTTCTCTGATACGCATGTTCAAAAGAGACGCTGACATTCTTACACTATGGTAGCAATGTGAGTAATATTAAATCTTGGGGCTGTGCAAATAACAAAATTTTGAGTGTGAAACCAATTCGAATATTGAAGTGCGAGTACGAATCAAATCAAATATTTTTCGAATATTTCTCGTATATCTTTAGAATATTCTTTAAATACTTGAAAGCAAAATTGCAGAAAAAATGTTTTAGAGGATTCCTAAACATATTTTTTTGAGATAGCAACAGGAAAGTGTTTCTTTTTGCTAGGTTGATGGAAGCGAGTGCTTAGTAGTTGCCTTATCGAGAATGAGGCAATGCAGAGACCAGATTGTATTTATGTATATGATCTTTGGCACAACCAAAGTGTTGCCAACAGCACTTTTAAGTGATAGGCAAAGGTGCCATTTCATCAGCCTCCCCTCATCTTTCAACTTCTGTGGAAGCTCAATGGAGTTCCAAGTCTGTCTTGTAGATGTCAATAATATGAAATTTCGAATGCAAAAAATCATGAGCGTCCGATTTTCAGGACTTACCTCCGAAATTTAAGGTTAAAAACAGTTTTAATTGAGCCTCCACCTCTGCCACATCTATTGTTTTCATCTTGGAACCAGCATTTTATCGAGTCAATACATTAGTGACTGTAGCAGAGCCTGAAAGGCAGCTGTGCCGCAATACGAGAATATAAGAAGCACATTGAAAATTCGAGGGAGCCACTGTCAATCGAACCAGTCCTCCAATACTTTTACTGGTCATGCAGCTGTGCCATAACTCTATGGAGAGCTTTGTGCACTGCAAGCGTGGAAGCTGCAGGGTGGTGCTGTGTCCTCGCCAGGGGCATCGGGCAGACGGCGACCACATATACAATGGCATGTCACCGTGCGTTTTTTATCATATGTTCGGTGACGTGTGCGTTGGGCCTGAAGATTGTAAGGGATGCCGTGTACATGCGACATACATAAGTGTCAATCCGGTTGCTAGTGAAATGACGAAAATGTGTCTATGTTCTGGCTGCCTAGAAACAGCGAACATCGGGAAAAGTGGAGGTGCGTTATACCACAGCGATAAACTGGTGGTTTCTGATCCCCAGCAAGTGAGTATGTGCGAAAAGCACATCGATGACAGTGGGATCTTTCGCTTGAACCAGTGGCTAATCAGAGTTGTTGTGAAAACGCCGCACAATGTTCCAAAACTTTTGCCGGACGCTCTGCTGAGGATTTTCCACGGCCTCCCGACGCATTTGTCTAGTGCAAAAAAGTCCTGAGCTCGCCCGCCTGCCAAGCTTCACCGGGAACCGTCTGCTGAGCTGGAGACTGTCGAGGCGGCATTGCCACCGTGCACGACACCGTGACACAGCTGCTGTGGATGAAGGTGAGCATACTGGCCGCCTCTTCCTCGTTGCATGCCAGTAATAGAGAAGCTCCTCGGTGAGTGAAATGCTCGCTGTTTTCTTTTATACTGGCATGAGATGACCAAAAGTGTAGAGATAACATGCCAAACAGACAGAGCTACATGTAGCTCCTCACAGCTTGAAAAATTCGAAGCACCCGTCTATTGCTTGGAACAGATACTTCAGCATTACCAATTGAAGCTCACTAGGGTGGCGACACAAGAGAGAATGCACCAAAAACTGTACAAAACTTGCACAAGCTGTAAAAAGCGTGAAAAGATCATTTTTGATTTCAGTGTCTCATGAGCCCGAGAAGATAATTTTTTGCGTGACATGTTGACGCCGCCGGTGCGGGACGCAGTTAGCAGATTTTCACGTTTGAGGAGGCAAGTAAGGCTTAAGGCTTTGGCCTGAACAGAAAGGAAGAACAGGGAGTAAGCTACATATCAGAGTAAAGGACTGGGTCTTTGCATGACCAAACGAACTTTAAACGGGCTATGGCATCGTAGTGATAAATCAACGCAAAACAAAACACGAAAACCAGGTGAAAGCTGTATGAAGTATTGCTTGATCCTCGTCACCTGCTAAATTCAAAGCACCGATTCATTCAAACTGGCTGTTGGTTCTATAAATACGAGGCTATACCTTCGTATAGAAATACTGAATGTATATGTAGCCTGAAAGATTGTATATGCACTGCCAAGAGCCACAACCATTGCACTTTGATGACGCATTAAGATTCACCAGAGTCATCAAAGAACTGTAGATTGTCTACCAAGTTCTACTAGATGCTTCAGGAAAAAAAAGCATGCTTTTATAGCGGTAGCATATCTTACAGTGGAAGCGGCATGCGTTAATTGCCATCGAATTAGAACCCTAGTTTCGAGATGTCTGTCAAAGATGAATATAACTGTAGTAGATCTTCCTCAAATTTCCTTGGAAGTAACATCACTCTGAAGACGTAATCAACCTTTACGCGTACGTACATCACGTTTCACTGTTTCGGCGCATGCCGCACAATAGCAGCGCCAAGGCCGCTTCGATGCCCCTGCGCAGGCACTTTTAGCGGTTGCTCCTGTCTCTATATCGAACTTTCGCAAAAGCTGCATGGCCGGTAAAAGTATTGAAGGACTCTGGTCGGACGTAGAGTGCGCTTTTCAGAATCTCGGCCGTAGCGGAACATTAAAGGCAGCTTTGCAGCAATAAGAGTGTAATGAGGTGAAGTATGTTGAAAATCTGAAGGTGTCACAGCAAATTTGACTACATTTGTGTCATTGTGAAGTCCGAATAGTAAAATTTCATTGCGAATCGAGTGAAATAACAACCACTATTCAAAGATTATTTGAAATTTTGTACATTCATGCACCCCTATCAAATATGTATTCTAATAACATATCTTTATGTGAAAACTACGAGCTAACGTTTTTGACACTTAGTATAGTTCAGTCTGTGCATGATGGTCTAAAAAAACGTGGATTGTACAAAGCCAACCAGAATTAAATTTGTATTTATGTGCACAATCAAAGCTGGCTGCATGCTGCTTTAGGTTCATTTTCTTGTTTCCAGAAAGCGCTACGTTTTCAGTACACGCATCCTGTTCACTGAGAGGACTGTTCATTAAGACTCGCAAAAATGAGCAGGCACATAAAGTACAAATAAATACTTTGGGCACTTTCCTCAGTCACATGCGCAACTTGAAACTGAAATGGAAAATACCATTTTTATGCAATTACTCAAAGTTTCTTTATTAGATTACTTTCAATGCTCAGGTAAGCAATAATGTCCACCGCTGCTGTGTATTCTAAAGGGAACGAAATTTTTTTCCCGACATACCACTTACTTTCAATTACTGGGGATAGCCTTTGCTGCAAAACTTGGCATGTATGTTGTTTGGTGCATATTGAAACAGGACAATGTAGGTCTACACAAATACTATTTTCGCAGCCTTCAGTTTATGGCGTAACATAATTTCGACATGAATGCATAGATCAGAGCTAACATTACATCCCGAGACCAGATTCGTTACGACATGACGTGGCTACCTTGAGCAACTGCTCATACTACTTGGTATTTGTTTCCACACACATTGAAACAAATGCACATTTTGCAAACTTTATTTTTTCTCAAAGGCAGTGCGAAAGGAACAAAGTTGCTTGGACCCTAGTTCCAGACTTGGTCAACAAGTCATCTTACACATATGTCATAAAAGTACAATGTAAAAAAATAAGATATTCAGCTTTTTCAAGACCAGAGAAAAGGCTCTGCAATGTTTCAAAATGTCAAGCTGAGAAACATATAAAATAATCAGAGAATGTTTTCTTTCTCCATGTGAAACCACAGTGAGGCAGATAAGCCTGTTCCAAAAGGAATGCGTCGCTGCCATGAAATTCTGTGACATGGGTAGCAGTATCAAGCGCCCATTTGCGTATGCCACGTTACATACATAGTTTACATATTTTCAAGATCAGCACACACAACTAGTAATCTCAAATTTTTAAAGAACTTCATAGTTACACAATGAATTATTCTCTGCATATTCAAAGTTATACAAATTCTGCTATGCAAATGATGTATTTATTGTCTATTTTGTCACCACTTTTCATAAAATTAGCTACCATACATTTGCATCAGCATACATCCTTTACCAATTGGCACGAAAAATACCACTTCAGGATAGTCAGCATATCTGCGGTGCGCTGATCGGAAACGTTACTCAGTTTCATCACAAGACCTTGCTTAATTTGCCTTGCAAGCCTCGAATATTAGATTATAAGCTTACCAGGAGTCAAAAGCTGCCCACAAAAAGATTTCTCGTATATCTTGACATCACTGTCTCTTAATTTTCACAGCACAGTGTACTTTCTGTAACAACCTGCATATTCACACACTGTGTTGATCAAAAACACTTCTGTTCTACACTAAAGGCACTGACCCTGTTGTCTATCTCCTTGTACATACACATCCAAGCACACTCTGCCCAGCAGAGTGCCTTGACCAGCCCCAATTTCCTTGAAATGCACTCAAGCTCTAGTACTACAGCATGATAAGGTCACTTGACAGTTGCGTTTTAAAATACCAGTTTTGAAAAGTGTTCCACAGGTATCTTCCCAGAGAGCTGTCAAGTTGTAAACTGTGGCTGCTGCCTAGAAGCCAAACAATTGCAACACTCCCTCGAGCAAACTGATGTTACTTCACTAAGACCATGTTGCAGTCCAGCATCAATCACAATGTTCCGAAAGAACTTTCAAATGCATTTGGGTTTCGTTCACTTGCCACTTCGTCGTAGCTGGGTGGAGGCGTAGCGCCAACAAGCCTGTCGTCATCGTCCACATCACTGGCATCTGCCCCCACCGTCAGCAAAAAGTCTGTGTCATTCTCGGCTTGTGACGCGTTTGTGCTCGCAGCAGAGTCATCGTGAGCATTCTCGAGAGCTGTTTCAGAGTTTTCAGGGTCGATAACAATGAGCGGCAATTGGTCGCTGATGGCAACATCAGTCTCTGAGGCACTAAGGAGATCGTCTGGCAGCTCGACTGTTGTCCTCTCACAGACAGAGTTTGTTCGACTGGCTCGGTTGTTGTTGCAATTGGTCATTTCTGAACTGCACGTTACTGCAGGGGTGTCTGGCTCGTGGCACTCCGCTGTTGGCGTTGTCAGTGGAATCGCATCGAACACTTGGATGGCGGGCGCACTGGACACGCTCGTTGCCAGCGGTGATGTGGGCAGTGGAGACGTTGTGTCTTCTGCCGGTGGAGATTCGCAAAGGAGGTCTCTTTGCGTTGAAAAGTTTGTGATGGGCATTTCTGACACGGCATTCGCATCAACTGCAGTGTTGTGTTCATTCTGCTGCTCACTTTCCTGTTTCCTTGGCAGCTCAACCTGAAGGCAGGACAGGGCAGCTGAATAGCAGGGGTTCTGTGCCTCGGTACTGGTGCTGTAAGAGAAAAAAGAACAAAGTAGTTAAAACAAGGGCTTTGTGTAGTCATAGTAGCTTGGCTAATATGATGCTATATACAGTAGACTCTCAGTAAATGGAAATCTGTTTAACGGAACTGCTGTTTAAATGGAATAAACGCTTCTGATGAAATTGATTTGGTTCTTGCATTGTGAGCCCCTGTTCACCTCTCAGTAAACGGAGCTCCTGTTAAACGAAACACATATTACTGGTCCCTCCAGGTTCCGTTTAATCAGTCTCCTGTAAATAAAATAATTTAGTTACTCTGTGGTGGTAGACTGCACTCTCCTTATGTGAATAGATGCTTGTTATGGTAGAAATGGCTATGTTTAAACATTGTTTATATTACAAAAAGAAATTTCAGGGTTATACCTTCTGAAAAACCATAATGACGAGGGAACTCTGGCTTAACTATGCCAACACATTGGTTATTTCAAGAATTAAAGTCACGGCATTGAGCTTCGAAGCTTACTCGACAGCTGCTAGGCTGCTACCACAGTGGGGAAAACTTAAAAAGGACATTTTACTGGCGTAGCATGAGACTGCATTTTTTTTTACAAAGCCACCTGAATACATTAGTCTTATCCTAGGAAGGTGAATACAAGGCAGGCTTTATAGTGAAGCACTGGCTGCTAAACACGCACGATGCAATGTTGACTGACCTGGTGTTGGTCTGTGTCGTAGGTGAGACAATGGGCAGTAGAAGGTAGCTCTGCCCATTAATGTTCATAATGTGGTTAATGGGAACACCATTTGGTGGGCTGTTTGGTTGACTTGGCGGTAGTTCGTCACATCCAGGATACAATGGAGGTAGGATGTTCAGTGACAGTTGGCTGACAGAGTACGTGGCACTCAACGGAGGAGCTGATGGCAGTGTTTCGCTGTTGGCCTGTGAAGACAAAAATGAATGTTTTATATATTGCCAAGTAGCATGCGACAATCACCTAATGCCAGATTTCGAGGAATACGTCAGGTAGGTCTAAGAAGCCACAGCCAAGTTTCAACAAAGACTGGGAGACCCTACAGAGGCCATGACACGTGATTTTCTATCAATTTTTGTCATCACGGTTAATGTTTGTGTTTTTAGAAAAAAAGCAGGTGAAATTTCAGCACATTACGTTGAGCACTCGATTTATTATTGAATATCTTTATAAACACGCTAGCAGTGTGAGAGTAGGGCAACACTGACACACTCGCAAGCCATGACATAAGCAGCTGCTTGCTGTGCAATTGTCCGCATTTTGGCAAACGGTTGTGCTCTGTGGTCATCTGTGCATGCAGTCGAGTAGTTTCAGATTTATTCAGTTTGGCATTGAAATTTAATGTTTTGTAGCAGCTGAAACAGGACGATGATTCTGTTTCCTGCAGTACAAAAGCCATGGCAAAATGGCAGCCACCTGCGTTAAATGGGGTTTGTCACCGGCGACATTTAGGGCACATTTCGCGTTGAAATCTTCTTTTTACAGCTCATCTTCATGTTTTTGTACATTGATCAAACATGAAACGGGCAGTGTTGGCGAGAAGACACTATGCCTGACGAGGTGCTGTAGCCGGTCCCAGTCAATAGAGCGCACAAAGAGCAGAGATGTACACATGTTAAAAAATTTGAAACGAAGACGCAGCCACAGCTACACACAGTTCATAAGCAATGTTAAAAAACGTTCATACATCCAGACCTTCTGCAGGACTCGGCTTATAACAATAGGATATTGTAAAATTATTTTTTCAATGATACAAAGCATGAAATATGTGCAAATACTTAGCCTTGTTCAATAACAAACCACATTATTACTACTAACTAATGAAAATGTGACAAACATACATTCATGTAAATTTTAATGATAACTTGAGAGATGCCTTCTAAAGAAAAATAGTTATTTTTAAAGCATCAATACATTGTGTGTATTACTGAGCGGCTCTCTTGCACTAAGGTGATAATTGCGCGATGTGCATTCAATAGCTGTGCTAGCTTTTGGACACTATGGTACACAAAAGTTACCTCTAACTTTTGTGTACCGTAGTACACAAAAGTTAGAGGATAAACTGTGCCTGCAGATATATGTACACGCACAATGTACCCTTTATTCAATTTTTAGTCGGAAACAGCCAATTGCTGGGTGTTGTGGTGCCCTTTAAATGCACTACTGCTAATTGCAAGCATTCCATCAGTCTTTGCACGCCGCTTGAACTTCTCCATTCACAAATGCAATGCTGTTGCATCTTAAGAGGGTTATGGCTTCCATTTCAATAAATGTGACCCAACTAGCACTTTATAGAAAAATGTGGAATTTTATCAATTATTTGACATCAAATTATTTTTCCAGGCAGTCTTTGAGTGCACCGCCATTAACAAGGCGGTGCACTCAAACAATCAAGAGCTCCAATCACAGTGCTATACTCATACGACATAATGGCAAGCTTTTATATTGGAATAGTTTTCAATATAGTGTTGCCATTTCAAATTCATCAACGCACACACAAACGAGCAAATTATTATGACGTGTCCATATTTTAATTCTTCTTAATGTGCACAAAAGACAAGGACAAGAAAGAGACAGACGAGCGCTAACCCTCAACTACGTTAACCAGCATACAAAGTTGAAATATGCATACGTACCAGCTCGCCCAGCTATTAGTTTTACTGTAGATGTGTACATACATCAATGACACTTTAGACAACAGGTTGCCAAAGTTCCTATTGCAACACATTTCAGTCACAGCATCATATGAAAAACTTCTATATTTTATTTGATGTTTATGACTTAGCAGGATAATCTCTAGAAGAGTCATTATATTTATGTCAACTTTTACATTTTCGAACAGACTCAAAGTGGGTTCCGCAAGCCCCTCCTCAGGGTCACTCATATATATATATATATATTTTTTTTGGTTCCACACTTCCCCACTCAACTCACTTAGATGGCGATCTCAAGGTGTGCTCCATCTAGAGAATTTTCGTTATTTCACCCAAGCGTCAATAAGCACATCTCAGTGCGTCATAGAGATGTGCAAGTTATGAAATCCCGCCAGCAGTTTGTAGTCAACCATACTTCGAAAATGGGACGCGTAAAGGCTTAAATCTTGGGGCTTTATATTACTACCATGTGCTTTCCATCTATTTGAGGATAGGTGCCGCTAGCATACGCGAAAAGTCCGAAGATTCAAAAATTAAAAAAAAGAATTATTGCACATCATGTGAGCACGCATTCTCAACACTAGCCTATCTGAAAAATAAGCACGAGAATCGACTGAATCCAGCAGCCAACATGTGGTTGGCACTGAGTGTGACTGAGCCTCGGATCGATTTCTTGGCATTTAATATAGCTCAGCAGGGTTCCCTTGCACCAGCATGGACTAATATACAATGAACAATTCTACTTTGGAGTGGTCCCAGAGCAGAACCGAGGCTGCACCAGGTTCCCAAGAGAACCCCCTCGAGCTATCTTTGGAACCTCTGCATATGCTTAGCAAAGATTTTCTCAACCAAATTCCTCTTTATTTGGGGTGTTTTTCACCTCTGGCAAAAGGTATGGTGACCATTTTCACACTATTAATGTTGGCAATGTTGACTACACTGACAACACTTTTGTTAGGCCTTGAAAAACACAAAATAGGACAATGAGTGCAGCCTCACCATGTGCAAACTACCGTTTCCCCGCTTGCCATGAACCGGTCTGCCGCTCTCCCTACTGCAGAAGGGCACCGCAGCCGCAATGAGGACTAGTAGCGACCCAATGCCAGACACAAGAAGCCAGTTGTAGTCCCAGTTGTGGAAGGCCAAGAAGATGCCTCCGATCACCAGCACTGATGCTACTAAACCCAGCAAGAGACCTGTGCAGTTTGGGCTGCTGCACGAAAATGCACTGCTCCGGGACTGCTCTCGTGAAGGCATGGTGGATGCCTGCCAAATGAAACAAACAGCCTTCCTAAATTCCACGTACACATCTCAACACTCTTGCCAAGACTTACTCAAAAACTAACAAAGGACAGCTATGATTTATCAACAGCTAGTGTCATTTTTATGAAGCAATAGCATAGCTGTATAGTGAAAAGGAAATTATATACATATAATTCCAAGTTTCAGATGGCTGAAATCAAACAATGGCTTTATTAACATTTTACACCCAGCGATTTACTCATAAAACTAAAAGACATGGATAAAGCAAAGGGAAGCCATAACAGGAACTGATTTCACACCAAAGCTTATTCAAGTATTTATTTTGAGCCATTTATTACCCACCATAGAAGTCTACAAAAATGTAGCAACCGTAAAGCTTGCCTTCTTGCTTTCTCAGATTTACTTGAACGAATCTGAAAATAAGCATGATGCAGGCCCGTAGCCGAAGGGGGGGCCTCTCGAAATTTAGATGGTGGGGGGAGGTTTAGGGAGAATAAATAATGAAAATATCTGTCTTTCAAGACCTTCAGTCCGTGCCCCCCCCCCCCCCTTCCCCCCACCTGCCTTCAGAAAACAATTCCTGGCTATGGGCTCGGCATGGCATTGCATCTGCATGTGTAGGCTACACAGGTGACTGACTGCCGTATTTTAGATTTTGCAAGTGTTCTTCGCTTCATTGCTTACTTGCCCAATTAAAATTGGCGTGGGACATGGTTCAAATGCAGGTAAAGAACCCCTCATGCTGGGACCTGTCTATTGTGCATAGTGTTATCGTGAGAGTCATGTCTATGGCGAACTGTCCTTGTAAGTTAGAGCAGAAAAGGTGACCATGCTGTCATTACCTGAAGGATCGTGCTGCCTTATCAAACAATTATCTTTACAGAATCGCTAAGGGCTTATTACAATCCTCGAAACTTTCTATCACATATATATTTGCTTAAAATGTATTGCAATAGGATGGAAAGGTGGGGCTAGTTGGTAATTCATAATTGTTCAGCAAACTGGGAGCGCAGGGGAGTTGTTAGTGAGCGCTTGTGCTATGTGCCTCATCCTAGTTTCGTGTGTGTGTTCCTCCCGCGCTCCCAGTTCGCTGAACAATTATGCTTAAAATGTGTCATACCAACATGCTCAAGCTTATGCAATCAGAATTAGCATTTGTGAATGACTTTTGTACAAGAGATTATGCCAACCTTTTTAATGTACCTTACTGCTGTCATAGCTGGTATGTGACATATCTAAAAACTGAAAACTAAGCAACGAGTTAAAAACTTTTTGAGGCCATGCTAGGTTCAATAAAAGTTTGGTCTGTATGTTAACTATTGGTAGATAAGTAAAACTGTGGTATGGTAATAAAGATAATTAACGATTCACCTATGAACAAAATCTATGCATTCATACACCTGAACTTAGCACAAAAAAAGAAAACACTGATGGGCCAATACTTCAAGCGAGGTAGCTTTTATATAAATTTCTTGTAATTTGTTTTCCTAAAAATGCTCCTTATATAGTTGTTTTGCACCCATAAAGAGGATGAGCTCATAGGATGCTTATTTTTCAGCTGTGAACTTATTTGATGCATAATATTCCCTTTTTTGTGAATATTTACTATTTCAAATGCCAGTACAACTACGTAGCTTGTATTCAAAATGGTGACATATATTTATGGGGCAATGGAGTATACACTACTGAAGTGTGCCTATCCGGGCTCGTATACGGGCACAGAACAGTGAACTTGACTAATAGCCATGAAACGGCGTGCGTGCCACTACTACTTCAAACTATAAGTTAGCCATTGCAGTGCTGTTAAGTCCTTTTTTTCATAATGAAAAATGGATTTATTTTCATTTAGTCACAAAGAATCAGTGTACATGTTGAGTGATTGCTCAGCATGTTATGTAGTTAATTATTTAACTACACTATATAATAGTGAATTACAGATGCACACATCAGCTTAGGGCTGAGTACAGGCTACTTCATTTGTGCAAAGAACCAGCTGCTTTCCTCAGTGACCGTAAAGCTATTGTAATGTAGCCCTACATTCGTTATTAGATCTTAAATTAGTTACCATCAACAGTAACAAGAGATGTAGCAGTTTTTTTTTTTGGGGGGGGGGGGGGGGGCTCTTTTTTGAAAGGGTCATTTCTTGCTCCGTATGCCATGGGGAAAAAAAATTTTGGAAAGGTGGGAGCAGTGCACCACCCTCTGGCCATGCAACTGCATAGGGATTTAGCCTGGATTTAGTTTTCTTTGGGGAAAATGTGGGTTCCGGATCTCATATTTATATGTGCATGTATATTGACGTATATACACACATACAAACTGAATATTTCAATAGGAGGAATGTGTAATAATGCACAGACACGTGCCCTGTGCCCCTGTCTTGTTTAGAGGCTCTGTTCAATAATTGTGCATCTGTACCAACTTGCCTTAATTTTCATGTAAATTTCACAGGAGAAAGGCTGAAAGGTCACCGCTCACTCTTCCTGTAGTTCTTCCCTGGCACCAAGGAAAAAAAGAATTTGCAGAATTTCCTTGGTTTGTGCTGCAGCACAAAGGATTGCTTCAGGAGAATGTAAACGTCATACAACTGTGTTTATGTCAATGCACATCACATGAAAAGCACGAAGTCACTTTGAGGGCCTGCGTACTTAATACAGCCTAGCAACACCAGTTGCTTTATGACAACAATTTGACGTCTTCAGCCAATGAGCTCCCCACAGTTGGCTATTTCAAGAGCGATTCCTCGCCATATCTGCACACAATAGGTCTCGGCGTCATCGGTTTTGTGGCAGTCGTCGCGACGGCCATTCACCCGTTATTCGGCCCAATCAACCATGTATTCTTCCGAGAGCTTCGGAACCGAAAATAACTCGCTCTAGACCCCACCACGGGCCCCCTTTGCCCGTGCCAGCCGTGGCCTGCAGGCAGCGTGTGTGCTCCGAGAGACATATATCCCTTCTCTTCTCCAATTTATCACTTGTTTTTCGAGCGTTGTTAAGTCTTTGTTTCACGCCTGCAAGCAACCGAAACTACAGGTATTTTTTTTATCTCGAGAAACTTTGCACTCTGCTCTGTCTCTGGTGATGTATGGTGCCTTCCGATCGAAAATAGTTCTGCCGTCGGTCGAAGTCGGCGTGAAGAATGAACGCGATCAGCGAAAAAAAAAAAGTTAAATTTCAGGGTGACGATGCTGTTCCCGCGATGCCAAATACAGAGTGCTAGCGATCGACTACAACGATACGCTCCAGATGTGGAAAGCAGCTGACAAGTTTAGCGCGGCAACGATAATACCCAACAGCTTATCACACGAAAGCACAGCACTTGTATCTTGCCGGAAGTAAAGATGCAAGCCCGATAGCCAAGCTCGAAGAATGGTGCGTCCAACGAGGCGAGTAAGAAAAGGAGGGCACGCAAGTGACAAGACTCTGCCCGGCCAGTTGCGCTTCATTTGATGACCCCGTCTTGACCGTTGCGGGTCAAGTGCGCCCTCGACACTCGAGACACAAGCCCCAGTTTTAGCGATGGCTAACACATGTGAAAGTGTTATTCCATAAGTAACGCTTCCGCGACTTGAGTGCGCTTCCCGTGAGTCATCCGCTTGAGACTTTACGGAACGGGTCAGAAGAAGCGAGTCTACATGTCGTGATGGGCGACAAGTCATTTATGCCCTTCGCCATGAGTGAAACGACTGAAAATACACGATGACAACCTAACTTTCGAAATTACCTGCACAGAGAAACAGCGAGCGATGGAGGCAACAACCAAGTCCACAGGCGAAAGGCAGCGCACATGGGCCGATGAGTGAAGAACGCTTACCGGACGTCAACAAACGTGGCAAGAGAAGTTCGCCGGGGGGGCCACCGCTCCCGGAGCTTTGAACTCCGAGCTAGCACCGAGGGACGAACTTCGCTCTCCAGCGTGGTTCGTCGTCGAGGCCCTCAGCCGCTCGGCGAATCTGCACATCCCATGCTCTTGACACCCGAAGCTGTATCGGTAAGCTCGGATTGCGCAGACGTCGTCTCGGGTTCGCGCCGTCAGGTACGCCGTTGTTTGTCACAGGGGCTATACAGACAAACAGGTTTTGAGAGCGTTGTGCCCCTCCGGCCTTCGGCGACGGCAGCAGCGGCTGGATCGTGAGCGTTAAGTGCCACCAGCATCCTCTCCCGCCGCCAGGCCAGCCGGTCGTTTCAAGTTAAAGGGAGTGAAAAAGATAAAAATGATCACAAGTACGCGAAGGCTCGAGACGGCGCGCGTAGGAGCCGGCCGGGTGCTGCCATCTATTTGCGTACAGGCGAGGCGCATGACCAAGGGCGGCGAAGTGGGTTGGTTCTCCTCTCTCAACAGCTTGCCGTCTCTCTGCGGGCGCACCGTGGTCTGGCGTCGTGTGCGCGGAAACCGCAGTTGACACATCGCGGGAACACGCGGCCGGACCCGTAGCGTGGGAGTTTGTTGTTGAAGCTAGCGATCTGCAGCTAAGCGTGGTAGGCTCATACAAAACCATTGCAACACTTGCGAGGTACTCCTGTATCGCCCGATTGATAAAGTGTATGAGGCATCCTGTCGCCTCGCGTTAGATTTGCTCGCGGCGGGAATGCTTAATGCTTGCAGCCCTTGTTTTTAACAATGGGTAACTAAAACAGCACTTTAGATTTTGTAAGCATTTAAGAATTAACGGGGTTGTATGAACGCCTGACTTGCGGTGCAGTTCTACACACTGCGGTGCTATCTTGGCTATCTTGTAAGGGTGTGCGAATATTCGAAATTTTGGAATTACTAATCGAATAACGTTCTATTCAATTCAGTACTCGAATTAAATAAGGCATATTCGAAATGCCGGATAGTTTTTGAACAATCAGCAAGGGAAAAAAAACTGCTTGAGAGAACAAACTAAGAATAACGAGGAGTAACTTTTCTTGCTTTCATTATCTAATCACTCCAGATGCATGCGGCACTATCCACGCATCCCCGTGTTGGGACGCCTTTCCTGGCTACGGGCCTGCATCCTCGCCATATTGATCACAGTACGAAGGGGTTTTGCTTAAAGTTAGAAATGCAGTGTCACCGAAGCAACAGTGTCAGCAATAAACTATCTTCACCATGACATTCATGGCAATGTTAACTCATGAGAATTGCTTAATATTTAATTATATGTGTCAGTTTCATTTAAAAGCTGTTGAATAAGAATTAACTTGAATAATTTAGTCACCGCTATATTTCAGCTCGCTGTTAAAAAAATTGAAGTTTCTAGGTACTGCTGAATTTAAATAATCGTGGTATTTTTTTTTTTGTCGCTTAAAAAGTAATCGTAACGTTCCTTTGTTAAAGCCTGTGAACATTTCCTTCAAATAAAATATGGAACTCTTGGGCTGTTTTCAAAAATTGTCTCTTAACCAGTCTAGGATTTCTTTGAAAATTGCTGATGAAATACTGTTCAAATACCATTCGAATAGTATTTAATTTTGCCCCGCCATGGTAGTCTATTGGTTATATATGGCGCTCGACTGCTTACCAGAAGGTCGCGAGATGGAAACCCGGCTTGACTTTCGATGTAGATGAAATTGTTTACTTAGATTTAGGTGCTCGTTTAATAACACCAGCTGGTCGAAATTTCCGGAGCCCTCAACTATGGCGCCTCACAGTCATATTGCCACACGGCCTGCTTAGGTGAGATCCACGAGTGAAATAGGACAAAGATGATCTATCTAAGCTGCTGCTTGGCTAGCCGACTCAACGAGCCCATTAAATCAAGTTTGTAGTCGGAAACGTGACAATATCGTGGTTTCGGAATGTTGAACACCAGATATTATAATTATTGATATTTCATTCTTATTCGTAATCGATTCGGCGTCGTCGCTATACGATTGGGTTCTAAAATTCACTATTCGCACACTCCTACTGATTTTCGACTTCGAATGTAACGACGACAGCAGTGATGCCATGGAGTGAATGCGCATACTTTCTATGTACATATTCAGATATTCTGCTAGAAATGATTGAAAGTAAATTGGTCATGTTGGACTTTCCCTATTAGTCATTCAAACGCAGTGCATTCCGTCCGAGTCTTTCTAGTGCAGAGTGTGTGCACACCATCAAGGCTGCCTGTCATCGTGTTAGATATTTAACACAGCGAAATGCTACGCTTCCTCTTTGTCTCCAGAAGCACAGTTGAAGCTGTGAATCGTGCAACGAGGATGGCGTACTTTGACGTCATTGGTATCTTTATGAGAAGCGCGAAAGTGGCTCCACCACTTACTTGCTGTAGTGGGTTCAAGAAAAAAAATGTCGGGTGTGGGGACGGTGATGATCTTCAGTTACAAACAACATGACTGTTTCTCCCTTGAAGGTTTTCCTGGAAAACCGTAAATAAATCGCGAGCTGTTATAAAGACCACGTTATCTTTCGTTTGACAGCCATTGAGAAGTTTCCTTTCTTTCAGTCACCCTCTGCACGAATGTTATCAATTGCTTATAGTACGCGTTTTCATAGTGAATAATTCGTTGCATCCCAGGTGGCTGACCTCACACCCGTCTACCTCTTTTTTTCACGGCAGAGTCGTTCAATTCATAACTCTGAGCTGAACAAAGGCAGTATCGACTTCTTGAACAACACTGTATCATTTTAAACACAATTGTGCCTGTGTGTAGGCATACGCAGTGATATTACACCATCAGGATTCGACGTCGTAGGCCGCGCTTAGTACATCATACACGTTCAAGTGCATGCACGGGGCGCTTTGGGCAAACCATGTTAGCTGGCTGAAGCAGCGACAGTAGTATGTGCTGATATACCGAGTGGTCAAAGTTAAGCTTTATTGTATTTTTTTTTTCAAATTATGAGCTTGAAGGCACGTGAGAACCACTTGTGCAATTAAGTGGCCAGGGGGACACGAAGTTGGTTGATAACTACTTCTGTCAGCAGCCCTAATAACTAAAAATTATTAACTTTTTACCGGCTGTGGTAGTTTGGCACGTTTACATTTAAAAATTGGCCCAAATCTACATGTAAATGTCGTCACTGTAAACGTCGTCAAAAGACGATAGTCTAGCGTCTGGAGAGAGTGAAAAAAAAAAACTTTTATTTGATGTTCTGCACAAGAAAATCTGAATGGTATTCTGAAGGCGCTGCGTCAAAGTGTCTCGAGCGTGTAGCGGAGGCAAACAAGCGCATCTAGACACGTCAGACACAAGCGCCATCTGGCAGTTATCTTCGAAAACGAAGGCGCGCGCGACCGTGGAGAAAGATGCATGCCAGTCTCGGAGGTGATAAGGTGTAGAATGCAAAGCGACGGGCAGGTGCCACCACCGTGTCATCGTAGCAAAGCGTTGGAAACACCTTCTTGAGCATCGCGTTGCACAGTCAGCGCAGCGCGATAAACGCTACCGTCCTTAGAGTTGCTTGTGTGTGCGTCTTCTATTATAAAGGCAGACATACAAAACCTAGACGTGTTGTTATGGCGCCGTAGATATGCGCAATATTTGCTTTTTTAATTGACAAGCGCACAACTATGAACGCTAAACCTTGAGCAATATTGGCGGGCACTGTGGATGGGGTTGGCCGTTTGGTGCAGTTTGAGGTATCGTTAGGGCGGACAAACAGACAAATGTACAGACAACTGGACACACAGACAGACAGACCAAATTTTTATCGTCTTTAAAAATGTAGGCAATGATGTTTGTACACAGTGTCAGTTGGAATATTTTTCTAGCACACCTGTGCTCCGAGATATCCGTCTCCAAAGCTTATTTGTCTTTCGCACGGTTACGCATTAAAGAGGACGAGGGTCTGCACAAAGTTTCTCCCTAAAGTGACGCATCTGTTGCGTGGGGTGTTTAGCGTGTGAAGAGGGTGGAAGCGTAGGCATACGTGATGACAATTACCCTTTTTCAATATAAACATGCCAATTCACCGCTGCCAGTAAAAAGTAAACTAATAATTTTTAGTCAATTGGGTTGCTGACAGCGATAATTATCCCCTACCCTTCCGTACCCCTGGCCGCTTAACTTATTTACACAAGTGGTTTTCACGTGCCTTCGAGCGCCTAATTAAAAAAAACAGAAAGATTAACCTGGAACCCCCGGATATACGCGTGCGCACGGGGAACGGGGATGAAGTCTGTCACATACATGGACTTAACAGGAAGGGACGCTGCAGTCATTGAGCCTTCCGTCTCCCCTGCGCACGCTCATGCGTGTGAGCTTTCTATGCACCATGGTATTCGGTTTGTGCGGCGCTCACAACCACGTCAACATTTTTTTTATTCTGTAAAACGATTTGTTCATGTCATGTCATTTGGGCGCGCTCAGCTGCTGTCATCTGTATGATGAGACAGTACGCTGTAACTTTCTTGACCGGCGAGATAACGAAGGGTCGCTCCCGCGATGTCGTAGCATAGCGGCCAGAGTTTGTCGACTTAGTGTGCGCTTCAGGCCATTCGTGCCCGTCTCGGGAAGCACTGCATGGAAAGAGAGGATTTGGTCATGTTTGGCGCATTGTTGTTCCTCACGTGCAAATGCTACCAAAACCAAGTCACATCCGAATCTCTTGAACAGTTGCATACATATTTACCGAGCCATGTGAATCACACTCGACCTGTTTGTCATGACAGGACAGTTTACGCATCCCCCTTACCACCTCGTATTTATCTTTGCTTTCGTTTCAACGGCAGAATTTCGGATAACCATCACAGTCTTCCCGGCTGTGCCCTGCTCTCAAACTGCGTTTCCTTGAAGACATCCAGTTGCCTTGTTCGCCATGAAAAGCAGGAAACGGTAAGTTTACCTCCATATTTTACTTCCTTTTAAATTCCGAGCACTTAATCGAGCACGCATTACGGCCAGAACAGCTGCTGTGACGTGAAAGTTACAGTAGTCCAATAACATCCGCGTATTATCCATAAAATGGCCCAATCCACAATCAGTGACACCTTTCCGCCGCTACTAAGAGATTTGGCCCTGCTCATACCGCGCTCCTGCTCGAGTCAAGTGCGTGACGTAAGACGACGGAGTGACCGACGTTAATTTAGTAACGTTGGTGGGGACCGTAGCGGATGAAAACTTACGCTCGGTGTTATCTCCGCGATTCATGTTGTTGAGGTTGCGAGTGAGGACGAATTCCAGGTCCAGCGTCCTCGGACTTCGCCACGTCTCCTCGCCGGGAGCGCCGCCGTTGGCCAGAGGCAGGTCTTCGATTGTTTCGGGCGTCTGTAGCTCTTTGAAGGCGGTCAGGTGACTCACGTAGCTCTCCCTGGGCTCGTTCGAGTCCAGGATGGAGACGGACGCCAGCACGTGCGAAAAAGTGTGAAAACGATGTATCACCATGCCACACACTTGCAAGAACAAGATGAAGGCGAAGAATGCGATGAACCCCATGCCCAGAGGTTCGAGGTGCTGGTAGTTGGATTTCACGACGACGAACTCGGCGGAGGGCACGTAGCCAATGGTCACGTTGGCTGTCAGAGGCCACTCGATGTACAACGTGCTCTTGTGGTGCTGGAGCAGCACGATGACCAGGACGTACATTGCGTTGCAGAAGAGCAGTGCTGATGCGACGCTGTTCCGGAGAGCGTCGAGTTTGCCCTGCATCTCGTGCACCGTGGACGCATCTTTCGCTTTCTCGGGCTCCAAGAATTCCGTGATGAGGGAAGTCCAGAAGCTGTCTTCCTCCGGTTCCAAGGTGGCGTGGACGCAGTGCCTCAGCGTGGCGTGACTGCGCCAGACCGAGTGGTCACACTCTGCTGCTGCGCCCTGAGATGCCGAGGAAATACCTGCACATGAAAAAGTATTTATTCATTTGCTCAGCACTCTACACTGTTGTGAAGTCTTTCAACGCAAATGTGAGCTCATCGCACTGAACCAGTGACAATCGAGTACCGCTGTTAAGTTTGAAGTCGTGGCTATAATCCCGGATGCGGCGCCAGCTTTTCGATGTGAGCAAAGTGAAAGAAAAGATGAATAAAAAAAGACGCTCGCGTTCTTAAATTTACATGCGTGGTAAAGAGCCCCGTATCGTCACATTTTATCCGGATTCCCCGCTATATGAGAGGCGTCATGGTTTCAGCAACATAAAACAAGCGAATTTTCCTATTGTGTATCGATCGTTTAGTTTTGATGAGAAAGCCTTGTATGTCTCATGAGTCCGAGAACCGGGCGTTAAGAAGGTATCAAATAAGCGACCCCACATGACGTTATCAGTGATGTTAATGGCGTTGTCTGATGACGTAATCACAGAAATCGTAGTATCTGGAATCTAACCCTCCCAAACATGATATGATTATGAGAGAAGCCATAGTGGAGGAATCCGGAAATGCCGACCATCTGAGTTTCCTTAACGTACATTGACATCGCACAGTAGACGGGCCTCTACCGCTTCGCCTTCATCGAAATGCGACCTCCGCGACCGGGAGCAATCACAGACGTAACATATATGCTGACTTTCTCCTGAGTGCATATACTATAAGCTTTCGTCGTTGCTCTCCTTGCATATATCGCCTTATATATGCTTATATATTGGGAATATATGACGGATAATGGCCACTTCCGCTTATCAAGATTTCAGCTCATTGTCTTCTTGACGGTCATAACAGGATTGAGAACTGCCTTCTTTCGCCTATAAGGGGATCCACCGTATTGTGTTTGAAAGAGTAACTTTCACCATCTCCTTGAATTAGTCAACACATTAAAGGTTTTATGCGTTCGATTGGCTCCAAAATAGGGTCGTTGGGGTCAGGAATTCAACTCGTGACATCGTGCTGTGCTTTTGACGGAATGCCCGAGCCGGAGAAAGCGTGACCGTTCGTGCGGAAACCACGTCGAATGCACGGGCGAGCGCGGCGCCGATCTGTCGCAAGTGAATGCGATGTACTGCGACACTTAGTGCACCATTCCTTCCACCATTATTCCCAGGGACTTTCATTGTTCAGCAACATACGTCTACGGTGTATCCGTAGGGAAGCTCACTTGCTGTTTCTTTCCGCGGGTCCGTTTATTTTGTCTCTCATGCAAAAGAAAGGGGGACACTGCGCGTGCCGTGGAAGCCGTTGCCCAAGCCCCGCAGAAGGCGTATCTTCCGGCCTTCTTCGCAAGTGGGTCGTTTGTCGGCTTTCTTTGTTCGCCTCGCACGCGGACTGCAGCTGCTCGCGGTCACGTTCGGCGCGCCCCCGTTGGGTGGCGAGAAAAATGTATGCGAGTGCGCCCCCCCCCCCCCCTTCACCTGCCAGACTTATCGCCGCGATTGACCCACGCTATAACGCCGGCTTTCTCCGTCTTCGAGATCGATGCAAACGTCCGAAGCGCCCAAGCGAAAGGTTGAACTTTCACTGTAGCACATGATCGTTGAACGATCACTCAGCTCTAGCCACCTTATGCAATGCAGCAGCACACCTGCAGTCCTCCGCCTCTCGGGTGTCCCCGTTCGAGTCGCCAGGTGTTTTAGCATATCGTTACCGCCGTTACTGTACGCTCGCAGACTAGACGCACGGCAACGTTTCGACCGCTTACGACAGTGCACCACCGATGCCGGCTGCGCGGCTGGGGACAAACGGGGACAGCAACATACCGTAGTTCAAACGGCGCACAACAAGCCTCCCACACGCGTTGCGAATTGTAGTAAGCCTGCGTTATGCGCCCAGCTTCACATTTTTATTATTCGACGCTAGACATCAAATTAGCTGCTGCAAACACTGCAGGCACCGTCATTTTCTTTTCTGGAAAGTTGTGAAGTCGCACTCCATATGCCAATCACGTAAGAAGCATTGAGGGAATCGTCCGTCGCGACAGCACGCCGTCCCTAGCCACCGTTTCTCATCGATGGATACTATGAAGGAACGTACGTCATGGTCTTTCGCACCAGAGATCTGTATACTAGAGAGCAAACCTGTTCACTGTTCAAAAATTGAAAGCAAGTGAAGTTAAAGTTACTTCGCTTTTGTCTCGTGAAAAAAAGAAATTTCTGAAGGCAGCTTATTCTGTGGCACGTTATCTGTTTAACGTGTGCTGAATACTTTAGCAGGATGACACGCGAATATTTCTTGCCAAAGCGATTCGTACAGCTTGTGGAGGACTTGTGTATTGGGGGTGGCTTCTTATTGCGTTGGGCTCTAATACTCCAAGAATGGAACTAACTACAACCTCTCCACCAGTGTTGACAGCTGCTATGCCAGCAAAGAAGCAAATACCCATCACAAAATAAGAGTAAACGTAATGAATTTTCTCATTTTTTAAAATATTTTAATTGTGATTAAAAGTATGCCACTAAAATATGAAGTTGAGTTCAAGAAATCAGCTAGTGAACTTGTAGAGCGAAAATATGCGCAACCATAGATGAAAGCACGGAGTTACTTTTTAACATCGCCTGCAGGGTAGTCTCCGTTCAGTTCAAAGCACGCTATCCGTGCATGACTAAAGCCTAGTTCACACTGAAACATCCGCTTTCTACAGTGACCGAAATTCCCCTGCCACCGAAACACAGCGTTGTTCGCACTGGACGCGCCCCGCGCTGCCGAATATGCCATCTACTACGGGGCGAACGCGGGATGGATGCGCTGTCACCCGGTTGTTGTCACGGCTCGCAAACGCCACTACGCTATCCGGTGGTGTATACTTCGACGATTCTTGTACGCAAGAAGCAAGAAAAGACAGTACTGCTTACTTTTCTGGCAAGTGGCTGTCTTGTAATGCACGAAGAGCAAAAAAACCACCAACGCCAGCGGCGTTGGTGGGTTCGTTTTGTTCTGCGAGACCGCAACAAGCTCGGTCACGCCAACAGCAAGCTCGGTCACCTCTTCCACGAAATACGGACGCGAAGTAGGCACAGAGTAGGTTAAACTCCCGTTGGTTTCAACATTCAGTTACGTGCACTGCGGCATAACAAGTGAGTAGGGCTTGGCCGCCATTTTTCAAAATTCCTTGACTAGCGCTCCTATTGGTCCGCGGTGACCGATTCGGTGGCAGACGCCGCAAAAATCGGTCCAAGAGCGATCAGCGCGGAGAAGGCCCTTTCGGCGGATCTCGCCGCCGCCGAACCGGATTCGGAGCACTTTCGGCGGCCGGAATGCTCAGTGTGAACGCGGCCTAAGGCTACTTGTTCATTCCGACGCCACATGTTTGACTTCAACACTGAACTTCTCGAAGTCATCGACAAAAACTATTAGGGAACGACAAACGCGTATTGGTGCACGAAATGATCTCTAACTTACAGTGCACAGAACGATCACTCTGTATTTACAGGAAAAATGCAAAAAAGCCACCCCCCCCCCTTCCAAAAAACAACAACAACACGACAAGCGACTGGACAATTATGCAAGCGCTCGGCGAAAGAAGAAGCCGAAATTCTGTAATTATAAACGGAACTGGCAATTCTGCGAGTCTCCACTATGCGACAGCAACTACTGGACTATTCCCCTTGTATCGAGACATAGCGCGACAAGTTCAACACGCTCATCGGAGGAGACCTTGCCATTGGACTTGAGTTCTTTATGTGGCCCGTGTTCGTCCGCCCTTTCCTTTTCTTCGCTCAAGACGGGCATCCTGGTTCCTCCGCTCTCTTGCAACAAGGGCTCGTGGATCTCCGATCTTGAGTTGTCCCTCCCGCTGATGTTCAGGGAGAAGTCTCCCCAAGAGCTCCTTGGGTGGGAGGACTGTGTGCACCAGAGGCAAGTCAGCATGTCGCCTAGGCGGCACGTCATCAGTGCCTGCATCGTAGGGCCGTACCGGCGGGTGCCGGATCCTGCGTTGCCCGCTCCTCCTTGCGCTGTGTGGGCTGTGGTGGTCTCCCTGCAGTGTGGCAAAGAACGGCATCACAAATGGGCGCCCACCTTCAGGAGGCATTGAGCAGCGTTGTCGAAGTAAACAATTTATTCCGGTTCTGACGCAAGGGAGTGAGCATTAACAAAGGCAAATATAATTGTCCGATGGGCCTGTTTTGAATTCGTTCATAGTGCGCAAATATTTCGTGCACAAGCGTTTTACACTGCTCCCGTTAGGTGAAATTATATAGCGAAATTTAATTTCAGGGCAGACTTTACCGAGTGCGTGGGGGCTGTGGCACGATCGACGCGTGCCTGTGAAGGAAGGATATCTTAAGTGTTCGGATCGAGCCATGAACGCCCGCAATCTAATTATTGGAACGACTAGAGAACTGTTTCGTGTGTGTTCGCACATTGCGCCGTCTCGTTTTTGCCCTCAATACACGTTACGCATCTGCTAGCCTCACACCTGAAGGTTATGCAGGGGAGAAATTGTCCATTGTTCCTTAAACAGAGACACTGTTGCAAAAGCAATCCAATGATACCAAGTTGCCAAAACACGCCTACGCGACGCAAGAAAGGCAAATGAGGGCAAAAAGAATAAAATGTGCGCATTAACATAAATTATGGCCCCGTATCAGCATGTTACACTGCAAATGTCGTCGAAAGACGATATTCTTACGTCTGGAGAGAGTGAACAAACAGTTTATTTGATGTACTGCACAAGAAAATCGGTGAATAGTACTCTGGAGGTGCTCCGTTAGAGTGCCTCGAGCGTGCAGCGGAGGCGAACGAGCACATCAAATCACGTCACACGTGAGACATGAGCGCCATCTGGCAGCTATCTTGGAAAACGAAGCGCGCGCGCGGCGTGTGCGCCCGTCTCGGAGGTGATGAGGTGTAGAACGCTAGGCGACGGGTAGGTGCCAGTACCGTGTCGTCTTAACAAAGCGTTGGAAACACTTGCCTTTCGTGCAGGCGTTGCATGGTCAACGCAGCGTGATAAATACTACGGTCCTAAGAATTGATTTTGTATTATTGATTGATGTAGGGTTTAATGTCCCAAAACCACCATATGATTATGACAGACGCCGTACGGCGAGGGGGGAGGGGAGCTTCGCAAATTTTGACCACCTGGAGTTCTTTAACATGCACCCAAATCTGAGCACACAGGCCTAAACATCTGGGGTTCTTTAACGTGCACCCAAATCTGAGCACATGGGCCTACATTTCCGCCTCCATCGCAAATGCAGCCGTCGCAGCCGGGATTCGATCCCGCGACCTGCGTTTCAGCAGCCGAGTACCTTAACCACTAGACCACCGTGGCGGGGCTGCTTATGTATGCCTTGTCTAGTAAAAAGATATACATACAAAATATTGACGTGTTGTTATGGTGCCCCAGATATGCGCAATAATTGCTCTTAAAGACGATAGTCTTTCTTGGGAACCTTCGACGCAATTTTTCGTCTGTCTGTCTGTCTGTCTGTCTGTCTGTTTGTCCACTCTTGAGAACGGCACCAGCTGATACCCTTAATGGCCGACCCCATCTGCAGCGCCCACCAATGTTGCTCAAGGTTCAGCGTTCATACTTGTGTGATTGTCAATTAAAAAGCAATCATTGCGCATATCTGAGGCACCATAACAATACGTATATATTCTGTATGTGCCTCTTTTACTAGAAAAGGCATACATAAGTAATATCAAGGACCGTAGCGTTTACCACGCTGCGCTGACCATGCACGAAGAGGCCAGTGTTTCCAATGCTTCGTAAGACGACACGATGGCGGCCCTACACGTCGCCTTAAGTGTTACTCCTTATCACCTCTGAGACGGGCGCCCGTCTCAGAGCCGCGTGCTTGTTTTCCAAGAAAACTGCCAGATAGCCCTCATGTCTCGCGTGTGACGTGACTTGATGCGCTCGCTCGCCTCCGATGCACGCTCTAGTCATTCTAATGCAGCGCCTCCAGAATACCATTCACCGATTTTCTTGCGCAGAACATCAAATAAATGTTTTGTCCACTCTTTCCACGCGCAAGACTATCGTCTTTCGACGACATTTGCAGATTAACATGCAGATACGAGGCCAATTTTTTTTTTAATTGACAATCGCACAAGTATGAACGCTGAACCTTGAGCAATGTTGGTGGGCGCGGCGGATGGGGTCGGCCGTTTGGGGTATCACCTGGTCACTCCGCCCCGCCGCGGTGATCTAGTGGCTAAGATACTCGGTTGCTGAGCCGCAGGTCGCGGGTTCAAATCCCGGCTGCGGCGGCTGCATTTCCGATGGAGGTGGAAATGTCGTAGGCCCGTGTGCTCAGATTTGGGTGCACGTTAAAGAACCCCAGGTGGTCAAAATTTCGGAGCCCTTCACTACGGCGTTTCTCAATCATATGGTGATTTTGGGACGTTAAACCCCACAAATCAATCAAAGCTGGTCACTCCGGTGTCTTTTAGGGTGCCGTTAAGGGTGATCAAACACTTTTTTTTTGCCCCGCCGCGGTGGTCTACTGGCTAAGGTACTCGGCTGCTGACCCGCAGGTAGCGGGTTCGGATCCCGGCTGTTGCGGCTGCATTTCCAATCGAGGCGGAAATGTTGTAGGCCCGTGTGCTCAGATTTGGGTGCACGTTAAAGAACCTCAAGTGGTCGAATTTTCCTGAGCCCTCCACTACGGCGTCTCTCATAATCATAATGCCACGTTCCATTTCCCAAGTTTTTGTTATCGTCCCAAAACACCACACGATTCTCAGCGCAAACCGCGCCTGCAGTTTTCGAGAAGGTTCCGGACTGTAGTAGATCATTTCGATAAAATCACGCCCACTGTGCGAATGGTACAGATTGTTCTGGAACGTACGCCGCCACCAGCGGTAGCGCTAGAACATTCGACGGCAAGAGTATGAAGAGCGGCCTTTCAGAGCCTTTTCGAAACACTCACTGGATAACTACTGCAAGCACACTTGCTTGGTGCCCGCTACGGCACTAATAATAGAATTTTAGGGTAGTAGGCCGGCATTCGCTATGCTATTTTTTGTCATTCTTCTGAGAAGCGAGGTATCCGCTAAACACTTGCAAGGAATTTTGTGCCAATTGTTCATGCAGTGGCTGACGACGATAAGGCATTATGCCTGAAGTGGGTATGTGCCACAGTTAATAGCTGAACAAAAAAATTACAGCATATTCATGGAGTGAATGATGATTGGTGGGGCGAAGCGCTCGTCAGTCCGTCCGTGCTTTCGTCCGCCCACTTGTTCTTGCTTTTGTCCGTCCGCGTCCGTCCGTCCGTCCGTGCGTCCGTCCATTCGTGTGACCATCGGTACATACGTCCGTTCGTACGTTCGTTCTTGCGTCTGTCCATCCGTGCGTCCACACCTCTGTCTGTCTGTGCGTCCATTAGTCCGTCCGTCTATCTGTATGTCCATCCGTCCGTCCATCTATCTAGTGTACACTCCAAGTACAGCCATCTCATATCTTTTCATCATGTATTCATCTTATACAAGCGCCACCATCTAGCGGACATTCTATATAAGGACCGCTCTTTTGGGTATGTACCACCGGTGTCTACATACACCATCGGAGGATGGACAGACCCACACCCTAAGAAGCTTCGCCCCTAAAGCAAGGCTTTTGTAATGAATTGCAGCATTGGGCGGCCCACTCGTTACGCTATTCGCATTGTGTGACGACAGCTTGCTCTTTCACTGCTTTAGAACGCTTGATAAGTAGTAATAACGCGATTGCTTTCCCCGCATCAAGCCTGACCTAAGGTAAGTTTTTGCCAACAAGTCCCAAGCACCGGTGTAGCTCAGTGGTATAAAACTGCGCTGGCGCCCAGAGCACCCCGGTTGGAGCACCACTGTGTCATTGGTACAAGCTTTTTTTTTCCCTAATTTCGCGCGATGTGGTTACGGACACCGGCGGTGGCAACCCGCGTGCGTACATGTCAGCGTGTGCGCATTGTTGTGTGTGTTTGATAGCTGAATTTATATGAAGAAAGACGTCAGCGCATACCGTGTGCCCCAGGAGACGACGTTGAGGTTGATGACCGAGTAGAGAGCAAGGATGAGGTACATGGAAGGCACGAGCACGATGTAGAGCAGGCCGTGCACCACACACTGGAACTCTTGCGGGTGCACCATGGCGGCGAATACGAACACGGCCGCGGTGATGACGAAGAACAAGGACGAGGGTGAGGCGATGCCGTCCTCTTGAATCTGCAGCGCCGTACCCACCATCACGGCGGCCATGAGCAGCGCGTAGGCCGCCGACAACACCTCCGCCACCAGGATCTGCAAATATGACAAGCGTGAAGGGTCACTTTGCTGGGGGAGGCACGTATGTGCGGTTTGGGTACTCTCGAGAAGCCAAAGAGACACAGACAAATACGAAGTACATTGCGTTTTCGTCGTCTGAAATTCGATGCAATAGGGCTGTATAAATGCATGGACATGGAAGAATACGTCGCCAGAACGATACGCTGCATTGTTCAGCGCAACGTGTACATCTCGTACTACTAGCGTTGTTAGTTCATTGAAGGTGTTTGACCAACTAGCCGTGGCATCCACTGAGACTGCTCTGGTAAACACGTTTTACGAAGCAGTCTCTGACATGAAAACTTCGATGATCGAGGGCACTGAAAGCTTATTGCTCCACGAAACCTGTTCAACGAATGCGATTTATACACACCGTCCAAAATATACCTTCCTTGCCTGTAATCTTGACTAGACATTTATTTTGAATGAACTGGACAAGCACTGCATGGCCTGCAGCATACGCAGCGATGCCAGCTTTAGCGAATTCGCAGTGCGAACGATTGAATTACTGATTTATTTATGTGTGGGGTTTAACGTCCCAAAGCCACCATATGATTATGAGGGACGCCGTAGTGGAAGGCTCAGGAAATTTTGACCACCTGGGGCTCTAACGTGCACCCAAATCGGAACACACATGCCTACAGCATTTCCGCCTCCATCGAAAATATAGCCGCCGCAGCCAAGATTCGATCCTGCGACCTGCGGGTCAGCCTTACTCACTAGAGCACCGTGGAGGGAGGGGGGGGGGGAGTATTCGGTGTGATTCATTGCTTGGCGGTTCAATCAGTACAAAACGCTTCCGGATGAGTATAGGTGCCCGTGCCTGAATCTTTTGGGGGCACAGGAAACAGACGGCGACGAAGCACAGGACCGGCACGGCGTTGAAGGTGGATGCTGTGAGCAAGGACACCCTGAAGCAATTGACGAACGCGCCGACCAGCATGAGGAAGATGGTGCCCGGCCCTAGTATGGTGCCCACAAGCAGCATGCCCTGATAGGCCATGTAGAAGTGCGAGATGCCGCTGTTGTTTCGAGCCATCCTCCGGGCGTCCATCAGGATGTCGATGATGTTCGCCATGGTGGAGGGAGTCCAGCGGCGTCGCTGGGTGAAGAACTCTTCGAACGTTTCGGGACAGCGGGTGTAAGCGTCCGAGGCCGCGCTGTACTCCACCTGGTATCCCTGCTTGAGCAGCAGAGTGCAGAGCCAGCGATCTTCGCCTGCGACAGAAGTGACGTAAGCAGAGGCACTTCAGCAGATACAACGCTTCAGCGGGTACAGCACAGGGTTGCCTTTATGTGCTCCGATCAAAAGAAAATAATTACCCTTTTACTCTATTACTCTATGTACGAGACATACATACCTCTCTTTATAAATACACGCTAACTTTCTTGAGGGGTGTCGCGCATTGAATAACGTCTTCAAAAGCGAGTTGAAGCTGCGAATCAGGACTCACCTCTAAAAAAAGTAACAGGTAGCTGTTTTTTTTCTTTTGGAGGGGGTGTACGAAGAATTGAACAGATGTGACCTAAACTCATGCTCTGTATCGTCGTATCATACTTTTTGGCGACACGTGCTTCGTATTGGCGAGAGAAGTGCCCTATGGCTATATCAAATTCCGCCGATTAACTCGGAGGCGCTGCTTGAGGTCAGGAAACATAGAGGGACATGTGGAAGATGGGAATGCTTGAGAAATTATCACTGAAGACCTACCGAACTTTTAAGCAGGAAGTTGCAAGGAAAAAAAATCTACAATAATTTTCGGGGTAGTTCTCTGGTCTTCAAGGCTAGAACAGGAGTATTGCGGACCAAGACGTACCGAGCAAAATACGAAGGCACAGACACGGTATGTAGTACTTGGGGAGAGGAGGAAACGGCTGAACATTTGATAATGTTCTGTAGATGATTCCGCCCTACTGTCGAAGATAATGGCGCCGAATTTTTCAGAGCATTGGGGTTTGGGGACAGTGAAGGCAAAATAGACTATAAACGGGTAGAAATAACTAATAGGAGGCTAACTGATTGGTGGCTACAATCGAGGCGCGAGTGAAAGTCAATCCTTAAACACACAGTGATAGCACTTAACTATATGGCTAGTAGGCGTGAGCCACCGCTCTATCTAAAGGGCACAGCCGAATACATCCATCCATCCAACCTTAAATGCTGACTGCGCTGAAACCGAAGCAGTGCGATGTGAAATCTGCTTCATCTTTTGCGAGTTCCTCCATCTTATCAACTCTTTCGTTACCGCGCGAAAATGGCTATTTTTTTCTTATGTCTCGGAAAGATAACTTTTGCCAGTTTTAAATGTACTCCAGCTCGCATTACAGCATACCAAGTTTTGCACAATGAAATGCTCTTTAAAAAACATGTTGTAGTGCAACAAAAATATTTTGAAATGCATAAAAATGTGAAAAGTGTGTAATTTCTGGTAGGCAGCTTGTAAACAGTGCAATAAAAACACTATATAAACAAAAATATTCATAACAAAGAAAATTCAGAATATACATTTTGAAAATAAATGACCTAGAAACAGTATAAAGATAATAAATGTTGCACAAAACGTTTCTATTCACACAGAGAAAGAAAATCGGAACCGAGGTGCTGCTTCATTACTCGTGCCATGCGGCGAAGCATTGCTTGACTTTTCGTGAGACACAAGTGAACTCGTACATTTTTCTCAGTAACATCTTTGTTTTTTTCGATAAGACTCTGCAGGTTTTTTAATATAGGATGGATGCCCGTGATGTGAATAATCCCTGTATAAATCAGATGGTCTATTATTTTTGCTATTTCGTCAACGTCACCTATTTGCATGAGCCACCTCAGTCCACATAGGTTGGCGTTTCAATATAGGAATTCATGCATGTTTCTTTGCATTTCAGCACATAGTATTAAGAAAAAGAAAAGAATAATGTACGCAATTTTAAAACGCTTCGCCCTGCTCCGTAGTCAGGGCCAAGATCCGCTCTGGTGACCTTCTTGTCGTGAGGAGAATCTCTGCAGCCGGCGTTAGCACATCGCGCCCCAGCAACGTGTGGACCTCGCACGTAAATATAGTTGCTGTAAGTTTGTGCACAAAGGTCAACAGCTACACACTTGCGACAGAGAAGACAACGTGAGGCTGTAAACAAAACAAACCCATCAGCGGCTGGGGATGTCTCGGGCTGACGCAAAACTTCGTCGCCGTAAAACTTGAAGTGCTGTCATCCTCGGACTCTAAGCTCGTCCTCACTCAATCTAGGCGCGGTTGGAAGACAGTTTTGTGGGGCGCGTGGTTTTTGCAGCGCAGGTGCGCACCCATTCGCGCGTGACGACGACGGCATAGGAACTACTAGTAGGCGGCTGTGTCTGATATAACAATACAAGCGAAACCAAGGCTGCTGGAAACTGGCTTAGAAGGCCACCTCCACACTTCATACATACAGCGTACCTTCGGAAATATTTTTTAGAAGAAACTTTCCCTGACTCTTAGCAACAGCTCTCTATCGAATAGCTGGCATAAATTTTTGGCGCAATCATTACAATTCAACACTGTCGGATTGTGAAGTACCTTAATTTAATATTTGACTTGCAAAGGTTCTTTTGATTACAGAACTTTGATGTTACTGTAGCATAGCCAGGGCACGGACTTCTAGCAAGTTCACCAGCCAAGTACATTTTGCCCACAACACACGCATATTGGTTTGCGCTAAAGTCTGTCAATAAGTACTGTGTTGCCAATACTAGCGAATTGAAATTGATTCTGAAAGATGAGTGGCTGGATTTACTACTGGAAAGTGCTGGGTACACGAGAAACAAATTCAACATGTCAAATTGACAATTCAAAGCGCTGATCACCGGTGATCGATTTAAATAGGCGTGGTAACGAGTCATCTTTTGCGAGTCCCTCACATACTATCGAGGGTGAACGTATGTGAAATGTCGCTATGGGAAAAGCAGTTATCGATTGCAGCCCGGCATCGCAAAGCGCCGAAATATTCAGATAGATTTTCTTAACCACCAGTAAATAGAAAGAAGCGTTAGCGTAAAAGAAAAGGTATCAAATCCGCAAGATGGTGACACATCGTTTCTTTTGTTGCTTATACGCACCTTGGTCGTACTGAACAAAGTGCAGTGCTTCCGTGGCCTTGGTGGTGTAGGTACGGAGCACGTTGTTGGCCATCAGAGCCTCGCTGCGGAACAGCGAAAAGCAACCCGGGCTGCACAGAACACATCCCAACACGTGTTCGGTGGCCTTCTGCAGCCAGTGGCCAATGGCGTACTCGAACTTCTGGTACCACACCATGGGACCTGCACGCGCAAGAGTTCCATGGCATCAGCTTCACGTTCGTCTTATTGTACGTTGGAAAGAAAAATTGTATACGCTATGCGTGTCAGTGTTCGCCTCTTCTCTTATGCGCACCTTTTATGCACAGTGGGCCTCAATATGAGTTTGCAACGTGGTGGATGTGGTTGAAGCGTGCATATACTGTGACACTGGCAAGTGTGAAATTGGTTCTTGAAAAATACGATCTAGTCAAAACAGTGCATACGTCACGGGTTGTTTTCTGCACATTTGCAATACAATGCACATTTGCAATACAATGACCCACGCACAATGACCACGCACATTTGCAATACAACGACCCGAGACGTCCGGGTTACTGAAAGTGGGCTTCTTGTCGTGCATACTACTATTGTGGAAAATCCAACCTTGGCATATGTTGTGGTCAGTGGTGGCGATGGTTCATAAAAGAGGGAGCTACGCTTGCGTTCGGTCTGGTAACTTTTCAGATGTTTGAGGCGTGTAATAAATAAGACATCAAAAGTTGTCATTTGTACGTGTTTGTGCATAGCATTCTCTGGCTATTTTCTCAAGGAACCGAACCTAAGCCGCAGAAAAGCTCTTATAGACTGTCGCTGTTTGAGAAAGTAAAAAGAAAGAAGAACGCACCAGCTCCGACGGGGTGTATCCTCCCGCAAGCGGCACCGAGTCCCGGGTTGTTCTTCATGTGGTCGAGGAGGTAGAGCACGGCCTCCGGTCGGAAGCTGATGTCTCCGTCGAGGGCGAGGATGTAGGTGTTCTGCTTGCGCACCTCCTTGCTGTGTGGCTCAAGGTTGGACTGGGCGAGCTGGTGGCCCAGCAGGTAGTACATGTACATCACCTGCGACCAGCGCTTCTTGTTGCGGATGCGGCTGCGGTCCTTGAGGTGCACCACGAGCCTGTTGCGGCCCGGCATGGTCCAGACGAGCCGGCCACCGTACGGCGTGTCCAGCACGCGGGGAGGTTGCAGGCAGACGTCGTTGAGCCCGTACACGCTGCTGTTCTTGCGACCAGAGAGAGAGAGAGAGCGGGAATGCAGAGAGACGCTCGCGCTAGTTCGTCGTCGAGGGGCCAAACTCGCGAACTGTTTGTTTGCAAGGTCTATTTGCCAATGGCGTGACGCCTTCGCTAATGACACGCTCGGTAGGAGTATTGCTTCCTCTTACGAACAATTCTAATGTAAGTGCAATTAGTGAATGAGGGGCGAATATCGGAGAGAGGAAGATGCAATTGAATGAATGCAATGAGTGGTTGCTTGCTGGGCTAGTTGGTTCATTGCGACTCGTCTAATAGCGCAAAAAAAAGGACCATGACCGAGACAGATGGTTAAGTATGCTGTTTACACTCGGTGTAACAGAGTGTAAACAACTCTGTGTGTTATCGACATTTCCTTTTTTTTAATGTTATATCAGTGTAAGCTGGCCAAACAAGGGAGGTATTGTGTAAAAGCTGGCTAAGTAGACTTTTCACAGAATACACTTTAACCTTACAATACCAAACTGGACAATCCACTCGCAGAACCTTTACAGAATACGTCTTCATATGCGAGCATACGGTTTACTACCACGTACTTGAAGGAGGGAAAGTCATGCGGTACAGTAAACAGGGATAGAATGTAGCACATAGGCTAGTCAAATACGCCGGGCAAAACTGTCCGCTGGCCAAAGATGTGCTCGTTCTTGGTAATCTGAAGTTGTTTTTTTTCTCAAAGTTTAAGAAATTTATCGTTGTCTGCTAAATAAACATCAATAAGAACCAGTTACGACACTTGTTTTTTAATGACATTGCTTTTGTTGTTTTCTGTAGGAAATAAAATCTCTGAAACATGCTAAAACGCTTGATACTGAAATGCTTGTTTACCTGACCGCACTGGATCAAAGCATCGTTTGATCTTGTGCGGCCGTGGTCATACTTAGAATTTGTAAAGTAATGCATAAATATTAACGTTTAAAAAGAATGTGTATGTTACTATTATTTTACCTAGAATCTCGTTGGACCAAAGAATTTTCGGAGTTGATTTTGCAATGAAGGTCTGAAACTTGCTCCTCGAACGTATTTCTATATAGGCTGCAGCCCCGTTGTAGGAAGTTTCGCAGCACTACGCGCCATCAGTGACACAAGAGGCACGACTTGTCCTCGAGTGCTTCACGCAAGAGCAACTATCCGTGGCGGTTAAGTTCCCTTTCTTTTCTCGAGGCTGCAGTGAGGGTAAGAGACGAAGCAATAAATACATCTCGAAAGAAGCTTTCTTTATGAGAGCTATCAGCTCTGGCATGCGTGGGCACACTCGCCTTCAATTAGTGTCAAATTGCCGTAGCGTTGGACATACAGCAAGCAGACCCAGATCAGCGGTGGTCTGGCGACCTGCAGCGCCATCTTGTCGTACTCACTTTGAAGGCACCTCATAGAAGCTTATGTTTATAACACAATTCGGAAAGTTAGTATCATTTCCTGAATTGTGTAGTAAAGGCTCCTAATGAAGGCTCGAATAAAAAATTTTTAAGTTACCCTGATGGCTCCATTGTGCCAATTGATGAGCGATCAAATGTAATCAACTCTTAATTTTCATATTTCACAAATGAACCTGCGCTAAACGGCTCTGATCCGCCCCATTATTCCCTTCCCCAAATGCCTCCTATCACTTCTGAAGTAATATAGTCATTCAAAAAATTAAGATCTCCGGGGCCCCCAGACATGATGGTATTACAGCCAAAATACTAAAAGGCACAAAGGTACTCTATTTATATATTACAAATGATTTTCATGCAGTCCCTCACGGAGAGTTTCCTACCGAATGATTGGAAAGTTAATGAGATAGTACCGGTATACAAGTCTGGCAGCCGCTCGCATCCTTCCAACTATTAATTCATTTCGCTTACAAGCATTACTTGCAAACTCTTGAGCATTTAATATACTCACAAACAGCATGCCACCTAAATAATAATTTCGTATTTTTTCACAATCAACATGGTTTTCAGCCTGGCTTATTGTGTAATACTGCGCTCTTTGAACCTGTTACTGAACTTCACTTAAACCTCGACTCCTCTTTTCAAATTGATGTCATTTATCTAGATTTTGCCAAAGCTCTTGATTGTGTTCCTCACCAGCGACTTTGGCAAAGCTTTCATGCCTACGACTGGATTCCACGTGTTATCATGTGTTTGCTGCGTTCTGACAAATCGCCTCCAGTACACCGTTGTCGGAAATCGTTGTTCAACCAACCGACGTGATTTCTGGAGTATACCACAAGGATTCGTCTTGGTCATCTGCTCTTTGTCATCTTCATGAACGACCTTCCAAATGGAATTTCATCTTCCATTCGACTTTTAGCAGATGACTGTATTCTTTATCGTCACATCACACACCACAGTGACCATGATATCCTCCAAAGCGATTTGCATCTAATCGAAACGCGGTGTTGTAATTCATTAATGAAACTCAATATCTCGAAATGCAAAGTGATGCAAATATTCCACAAGTACTCTAACAGCGATTACACCTACTCCCTAAACTCGATAGCTTTGCCCTCCGTCGAATCATATTGTTATCTCGGTCTCACACTGAATACAAAGTTGACATGGTCTGATCACATCGCAAAACTAGCTGCCGATACTACTACATTTCGGCAACGCGAGAGCTGGCGTATGAAACATTTACACGGAGTAAGCTTGAATATGCCTCAGCTATTTGGAATCCTCACCACGCATACCTCATTAACGTTTTACAATCCACACAGAACCGTGCGGCCAGGTTTATCTCTTCCAGGTACAGCTGTTACGAAAGAATCAGTGTAATAAAGTCATCCCTGGGACTCGAGTCACTCTAATTCCGTCGCAAGATTACGAGGCTGCGCTTGTTTCATGTAGGCTTTATTACAACTTCCCGCTACTTCGTGGTTAACTCCTCGATCCCCCACACCGTACATCTCACCGTATTTTTAACTCTTGCAGAATACAGCGGTTGCATGCCTCAACGTCTTCTTTCAATCAATATTTTTTGCCGATCGTTATTGCAGAGTTGAATATATTGCCAGATGGTGTTGTCAGCGAGCGCAACCCCATTGTGTTTAAGCAGTTGCTCACTGATTGCCTCACGTTGTAGTATCGATTGTGATTTTAGATTGTTCTCCCTGTTTTTGCATTTGAGCAAGTATTCCAGTTCTCCGAGATGTGTGTTCCGAATTGGTCACCGGAAAAGTTACATGTATAAATTTCTGTTACCCGTATGTAATACCCCAACAGGGGCCTCTAAAGGAAATAATTGATGACGATGTTTATCGACACCATGATTAGTCATAACGGATATATTACCCCGTTAAGTGCAATAAATGTTCTAGTCTTGCTTACTCGAATACTGGTGATATGCTCGCCTTAAATGTGGTCGACCCTGCACATTAACGACATATTGAAATGGCGGCTGTAATGAAAATCTTTGATAAATGGTTTCGACTTTGTTAATGCGAAAAGTGTCTAATTAGTGTTGGTTGCGTAATAGTGCCGCACTTTTTTTTTATGGATATGCAAACCTATGCTACAGGAGGAAGCCATGTGCATTATTAACAGGTGTTTTCTTGGTCAAGTGACGAGGTATACTTGTTATGCTCACCAAGCAGCCTCGTTCACGGTGCCGATGAGAGTTTGAACGTATTCGTTGATGACCTGACATTTCCGCCCTGATGCGTCCAGGCAATCTCTGAAGGCGTCATCGAAAATGATGTGGGCTGAAACAAAAAGAACATGTTTTATCCCTCCGTTATATAAATCTGTAAAACACGAAGGTAAAAAAAAGCGTGTCCTTACAGAAATAGTTTATTGTTTACAGTTTATTGATATACGAGAGCTTGCACGATGTCTATTGATGTTTGACAGCTATAACACCGCTTAACGTGGATGCATCCACGTTAACCGTTAATCATATATCTCCAGCTTGACGACTAACATGTATCAATAATGATTAAACAAACCCTTGTGTTCGTAGATGAGTGCGGAGCCAGAGGAAGAGACGTGAAAGCCAGAATAACGCGACTGATTGGACGCCGAACTTGGGCTAGAATGTACGCTCTACTTGGGCTAAGGTCGCCTACTCGCGGCCCCTTGGAGTTATTGGACGCCACGGCCCGACCAGAGGGAAACGTAGTGCGCGTTGTGTCTTGTCTGTTGGCCAGCCTTGGGGCGAAGCTCTTTATAGCGGCACCCGTTCGTCCCTCGTAGCCATTGTAGTATGTAACGAGTATAACATTTTGACCTCCAAGGTGGTGCCGGTGAGAGATTCCGTTTGTGCGTTCTTGAACAATAGAAGTAGTGCTCAATGTACATGCCAATGACTGCTAATAAGGAATAAGAGACAGGAGCATTCGGCTTTTAGCTAACGCGCACGCTGCAATCCCCATTAGCAGCCATTGGCATGTACACTGAGCACTATCTGACGAGAAAGGGTTGCTGCGTTATACTCGCTGGGCGTAACCTCCCTGGTTTTAGAAAGGTTTAGCGAGCGTTGGGCCGCAGTGCCATGAATACAGTGAACTAGTATATACCATGAACTCGAGGTGGTTAAAGGTGGGAAGTAGACCCGAAGCGCAAGCCGTAAGAAAGTGTGCGTGTGCCACCTCTCGTTTAGCCCTTGGAATGTCCGCTGGATGGCGGTGCTTCTATATGGGGAATATATGATGAAAAGATGCGAGATGGGGGTACTTGGAGTGTTGAATAGGTGGACGAACGGACACACAGACAGATGCATGGACGAACGCATGGATGGCTGCACGGATGGATGAACGCATGGACGGACGCAGGAGCGGATGCATGGACGAATGCAGGGACGGACGCACAGATGGACGTGCGGACGCACGAACAGACGCACGCACAGACGGGCGGATGCACGCACGGGCGGCCACACAGACGCACGCATGAATGGACGGAAGCAAGAACGAATGGACGGACGGATGCTTCGTCCCACTCTCCACCATTCACTCCGTGGATATGCTGTCATTTTTTTTCTTCTGAAAATTCAAGTCGCGCCGTTGCCGCCTTCACCTGAAGGTTACCATGGCTACTGTTTAGTTTTAACTGGCCGGTAAATGTATAGTTTCAACTATAGTTCGCCATGCGTCCCAAAGCAACAGTATACGCCACCTGTGCCACGATGGTTCGCAGCGTCTGAGGCGCCCTGGCACGACAAGAAGGGGGATTCCCCTTGCTATGCGTTGTACGATACACGCCGGTCTCCGTACGAAGGAAAGAGTGCGGGAAACGTGAATTTAGGGTGGGCAGGTCTTGTCGACGAACCCTATAATTTTTCCTTCCTGAAAGTCCGCGTCTTCAGACAGCTTCATTTTGTCTTTGAGCCGCATATAGTTCGTTGGCCTTCGACTTCCGAGAAATTTCTCGTCTTCAGTGTTTGCTAGTTGGGGAGGATTGCATATAGCTGGCTTCTTGCCCGTCGCACGCATTTCAATTCTATGCCCGCGTAGCCGGCATGTTACACTCTGCTTTAGAAATAATGGGAAGTCCTCGTTACGGATTTCCAATCAAATCGCGGGTTTGGCGCGTAGAACTTCATTTTGTCCTTCTTTAGCTTCACGGGCCTGTTCAAGGGGGCGTACAGCCAGTTCTCTCCAGGTAGGGGTGGGGAGTGGGTTCAATAACTCTGTCTGTACGTTCCTGAATGCGTTTTTAAGTCTGCGTACACGCCATAATCATCATTAGCCTAACTGAATTCAGTGCAAAACAAAGGCCTCTCCCACGTTTTACCAATTAACCCGGTCCTGTGCTTTCTGCTGCCACGCTATGCCTGTAAACTTCGTAATCACGTATGCCCACCTAATTTCCTGTCACCCACTCAGGCGTGTACGTATACACATATTTAGCAGAAAAACAATTTGAGGGGCCCCTGCTACGTCAGTGGTTTGTGTTTATTCAACCACGCGGCAGCTGAATACAGTATACACGCATGTGGTTTGGCGCTGAGGGAAACAAGCAGCATTGCGCAGCTTGACGCGTCCCTTCACGGAAATCAAAACAAAGTCATGAAATCACGGAATTAGAGGCCGCGGGAAGCGACAATCCTAAAGGAAAACGGTCATGTGGTTCATGACAGCAAATAATAAAATGAAAAACTCTGAAATATATAATAAAAGTATTCCTAAAGCAATCGACAAACGAAGATACTAAATAACCATCACAAAAAATCACGGAACATTCATAAATACTGCAGTCAGCAGATCCGATGTAACATATCAGCTTTAGACAATAACCTACACCTTCAATTGTTACTTTTTACTTGCTAATTTTACTTGGTAAACGGGAATCTAATGCTTTAGGTTCACAACGAATAGGAGGACGTGATAGATTTCAAGTTTCTGTGTACCATCTCTGGTACATATTAACCACAATGATGGTGGTTTTTGTCGCGAAGTGAACCTTTGCCAATCAAAGTAGCACAATATTTTGACCTTTTACAATTATCTCGAAAGACGTCCAGCTGAAGTCTTCCTGTAGTGCTTCTACGCTGTGGCTTTTTGGTCGTGGCTAAGTTTTTTCCCGGTTTTTCTCCGGGCCACTATCACTTCCACAAAAACATGCATGCAGCGGAGAATACGTGTTTTTATTTTTGTCAAGAGTGGAGCGGCAAAACAAGTTTCTAGAGCGTTTAGTAGACGCATCGACAGAGTTGGAAAATTCGCTCGTGGCAGAGCGTCTGACGGTCCAAAGGGCCCGAAGGGAGATCAGTGACGTACGAAACACGTGACTGTAGGGGCGGAATCGAAGAGCGGGCGCGTGCACCGAGAACTCGCTCCGACTGAGCAGTACAGTAAACATTGCCATCAGAGCGGCAGGCATCGCGCAAAAGCGGCGCACGTAAAATAAACTCGATTTCACGCGTCCTGCTGCCGCTCATCGCCACCACTCAGTCGCCCGCATATGAAACAGGCTTTTTGTCAGCCTTATCAGCCGCATGTTTGCCTGTAATTTAGAAGCCATGCCATTTTCATTAGTTTTATTTAGTCTATTGATATGTGGAGCGTAACGTCCCAAAACCACCATATGATTATGCGAGACGCCGTATTGGAGAGCTCCGGAAATTTCGACCACCTGGGGATCTTTAACGTGCCCCCAAACTTGAGCGCACGGGCCTACAGCACTTTTGCCTCTATCGGAAGTGCAGCCACCGCAGCTGGGGTTTCATCCCGTGACCATCAGGTCAGCAGCGGAGTACCTTAGCCACTAGACCACCGCGGCGGGGCTTATTTAGTCTATTGACTACCACCAAACACTTTTTTAAATAGGTGATGACTAATAGATGTTGTAAAAAGAAAAAAAAGTATAAATATTCAACACTCCTCCCCTTTTCTCGGTCTCCCTGTGCAATTTCGAGTTTTTTTTTTTTTATTGCTGCACTTACCAGCTTGTTAATCGCACTTCTTGATTTTGGCTGAGTTTTGAGCTAGCGAACCCCACGTTTGATTAAAAAAAACAGATCTGCTAATATCTTACATACGGAAACTACGATATGCCGGGTGCTTCAAGAAATGTGTTCTTAATTCTCAAAAATTAAAGAAGTACGACATTTGCTCGACGTTTTCAGAATTACTTCGTCTGTATATATAGTCGCAGGCGTCTTAAGATGGCTAAATACATCATTTGGGACTATAATGAAACAGTTACAATAAAATTAATTTTTTTAAATTAGTGGAGTGAAACAGTTATTTATTTATTTATTTAGTTATTTATTTATTTATTTATTTATCTATCCCTCAGGGTTCATGGTACTTTTCAGAGGGTGGAGGACAATACACAACAATAGAAAACAAAGCACACAAACCACATAAATATACAGCAACTGATTGAGGCTCAAAATTTAATACTACTAACAACTTCACAAAAAATCATACAAAACCGGTGATAAACAACATTTTTATTTTTATTGGACGGTGAATGCAATAGGAAAAAGGTTATTTGTTGAATAAAACATAAAAGGGGGTAATTTGGTAATGATTGTTTCAAGGACATTCTGAAAATGAATCGAGTCAGTGATGCTTGTTAACGATGCAGGCAGGGAATACCAATCATTACAAGACCTTGAGAGATATGATTAGGCATGTGCTTTTGTATATTGATGGTGACTAGGGCCTTTTGTTGGTGTCGAATGGTCACATTGTCAAATGATGTCTAATGGGAGAATTAAATTTCTTCGCGAGAAGAACAAATCCCAGCTTTGGGATTTCGAAAAAGCGAGCTTTAGTAGTGATTTCGCGAGGTACTGAAATTCAACCAAATTTAGTGGCGGAGCCAAGACCAAAACGCGGAAGAGCTCAATTGCAATATTCTTTTGAGCGAATGCTGTTATATGTACCAATAAACGATTTTGCTACGTGGGCTACGCTTGCTATTATAGCACGCATCGTGCACGTGCATTAACGAACGTGGAAGAACTACACCCATATAATCGCTTTCTTTAACAGTGACGTCACTCTAGTCGTCTCTTCTTGCGCTTATCGGTGCCTCAGTTTCTATTTCGCCGTTAATATTGTTCTTATTTCTTAACGCCACAAGAACTGAGCCCACTTTTGCATCTCAAGGCATCGGTGGGTGGTTCGCATGAACAAGTTCAGTTCCCCTATTTATCATAACTGTCCAACTACACTAATTAAAAGGTAATTAGTTTACCTTTCTTAGTTGTTTTCCCCATTGATGTTCTATCCAGCCTAGGACGCCTGCGGCTGCAGAAGAAGCGATTCTGAAGGCATCGAGCAAATATCGCGTTAACCTCATTATTTTGAGAATTTCAGACACAGTAAAAAAAAATTCAACCTAGTTATATATATAATGACATTTAAGGTGAAAACTTCAACGCGAACCAAAACGAACCACAAAAACTAGAAGAGGCAAGAGACAATTCTATAACATTAGGCGTGCTCCACACTGAGGTAAACAGTACCGGCCATCTTTGGTTCTCGCACGTTCTGCATCTTATAAATTGCTATTCATTGAAACGACATACGCCGCTGTGCGAAATCATTCACCTATGCCCATGACACATAACTGAACGGTTGCGGCTGTCCGCATGTGCGAGTTATGTGATCATACATTCGCGTTCAGCATGATTTGCAACATGGCAGCGCGATGCCTCAAAGATCACCCATGGCTTCCACAAGCCTTTATTTTCACAATTGTGCTCTGTTCTTCACTTAGGGACAATTCCAAACAAGCAAACCTCTTCCATTTGTGGAAATCAGGGCAACACAAAAGGCGTAACAGAGGGGAAAAAAACGATTTTTCTGTTATTAGTGGAGCACTTTCACAATTCCGAAATCACCGCGAATGCTGCCTTGAAAAACGCTCGGTGAGTGAAAAAACGTGCAAAAAGAAAATGGCGGTGGTGACGCCACCTTAGAATTCCTACACCAAACGACACGATCGCATGTATTTTGATGGCACTACAGGGCCTATACTAAACGGTAAGAACGAAGTACACTGATGGGGCCGCAGACTTGATATGACAAGTTTCACTAATTCATTGAGCAAATGTTGCCAAAATACGACAAATACAGTTTGGAATTCGTGACATGGCGCTCGAAGATTACAGCGCAAAACTTTAAACCAGGCTTTGTTCGCGATTTTCTCCTCTATTAATTAACTATGTTAATAACACTAAGGTTGTTAAGAGTATTATTTATCAATATAAGCAGATTAATCGTTTCGCCCTATAGTGTCCCTTCAAAGGTATTTCAGCTCGCGAGGCCACGTGCTCTCGTGCTAGTACTGTTGTTATGAAGCACCACTGTATAACATGCATAGTGGGGAAAAAATGCGGCGCGTGCAGGTTCCGCCCGCCGGTTGTTGGGACTTACTTTCGAAGACGTAGTACAGCTTGTCCTTTATGCCGGAGTGTAGCCTCGACAGTCTGCGCGCGCTCTGGTCGTAGTCCATCCTGCGATACGACGACGGGTGAAAAGGAGAGAGAAGAAATTGGCCCCGTGTATGCATTTAATCTACAAATGTCGTCGAAAGACGGTAGTCTTGCGTGTGGAGAGAGTGAACAAAACATTTATTTGATGTTCTGCTCAGGAAAGTCGGTGAATGGTATTCAAGTCACGTCACACGTGAGACATGACCGCCATCTGGCAGTTTTGTTTTTTTTTTCGAAAACAAAGCGCGTGGCTCTGCGATGGGTGCGCGCTCCCGCCTCAGAGGTGATAAGGTGCAGAAGGCAAGGCGACGGGTAGGTGCCACCACAGTCTCGTTTTAGCAAAGCGTTGGAAACACTCGCCCTTTCCGTGCAAGCGTTGGATGGTCAGCGCTGCGTGATAAGCGCTATGGTCCTTAAAATTACTTATGTATGCCTTTTATAGTAAAAGGCGCACATGCAGAATATATACGTGTTGTTATGGTGCCCCATACACGCGCAGTAATTGCTTTTTAATCAACAATTGCACAAGTATGAACGCTGAATCTTGAGCAACATAGGTGGGCGCTGCGGATGGGGTCGGCCGTTTCAAATACCCGCTGCTGTTAAGAGTGAACAAACAGACAAATGTATAGACAGACAGACAGACCAAAACTTTAGCGTTGAAGGTCCCCAAGAAAGACTATCGTCATTAAAAAACTGTTACTGAGCCCAGGACATGGGGCACGCCAAGGGTTCCCTGAATCACCCGAGCACCGTGGTCAGGTATAGCCACGGCAAAAAGGCCGTTCGGTTTATGCCTATTCGCGTTATGCCTATTCACCTGTTCCACGTTGGTTAACAGCCGTAGGCACCGTCGACATACTGAGGCGCTTCTTGCAGCGATATCACGGCGCGCGCGTTCCGCCCAGCTCAAAGCTCGCCGTCACCCTCTATGATCACGTGACAACTGGCAAAGCAGCTGCAAAGCCGGTATACGCCGTGCTCGGAGGCAGCTGTTCAGCTGCAGGGCCAGTGCTCGCGGTGGCGCTGCGACGCCCCTTGAAGCACCTCAGTATATATATATATATATATATATATATATATATATATATATATATATATATATATATATATATATATATATATATATATATATATATATATATATATATATATTTTCCCAAGTACGTTTGGCTATTGGTTCTTCACAATATATGTATATATATAACCTGTACAATATCAGTGCTAGGCGAAGCAACGTAACAAAGAACATCGTAAACACGCACCCACACTAGAACCTGATCGTCGTAGGGAATATTAAAATGAAACATACTAGTGAATCCACAGGGGTAGCATAAGTATCAGTACAATATGATTAGCCTGCAAACGTTTTCATCGGCAACAGAACAATGTGGATGCAGTTAAGCATATTTATTTATTTATTTATTTAATTGTATTTCGACATTTTTATGAAAGGTGATTCTTTTGTTGCGACTAACATCTTTGTTTTCATTTAAGAGCTTAGAAACTTCGTTAATGATGTATTTCATCCATTGCACCCCTAATTTGTTCTGGTCTTAGGTAATTCATAGTTATTGACATGGAAGTTGCGGTTTGTGGCTGCCAATTCGTCCAGTTTTCCAATTCGCATGAACATATAAAGTGAAAAGCGAGAGCTTCTCTGTATACAAAAGACTTGGTGGGAACTAATTTGCGCTAAGTTTTCTAATGACACGCATTATTGAAACGGACACGTCCAAGAGCACGAACAGCTCTTTCTTACAAAATGTCTAGTTTATTTAAATATGACTAGCCTTACCTGAGCACGGATTTCAAGAGCTGAAGCATCTCATCCTTGGTTTCGTGCCACATGGTCGCACACGCGTAGATCCTCGTGACGTCATCCCCCTCCTCCACATCTTCCCTGGACGATGACTTGGCGGTACGGAAGCTGGCCTCGATGGCCTCTCGGAAACTCTCCGTGTTCACGTGATCATTCCTGCTTGTCTGATCCTGTCGGACGGGCTTGTGTTGTCGTCACAAAGCGTGGCTACGTGTCTACAAGCCACTATGTGCACATAGCAATACAGATTGTTCTGACTGTAAATGCACACTGTGAGCAAAAGTGACAATTAATTGCAGGCTTGCAACGAACCCCGTCGTATTCCGTGAAGGTTTATCAAATATAGATCGTAAATACAATGAGTGACATTTTTCTTATCTTGTTTGCATTTCTTTCTTCTCGGTCTTTAGCGACTAATTATAAATCGCAGTTTTATCACCGCAATTTTTATCAATCGCAAGCTCACGACTGGTATATCAGTAGCCTGTAAACTAAGCACACTTCTACGTGAAGCTTGGTTTCAAGACGGATTGATAGGACTGTAAAAGCCTCGGTAATATAGTTGGCAAGCAAGTGACATTTCAAGTTAGACACTATTTCGTCAGGCAGACTTGCCCCGACGAAAACGATCCGTTTATCTAGAATTTGTCTCTCTCTCTATCTCTCTCGCGAACTTTTATGGTTCCCATCTAGAGAGAATTAAGAATTGCAGTCAAAATTACCCAAAGTTGCTTCAGTGTTTCGTCTCCTTCCTTAACTTTTATTTTTCATTTGTATGTATATCCGTGTATCTCGGCTAAGTGTAAGGCTAGTTTAATATAAAAGTTAATTTATTTGTTGAGCCATCATCACATAGGCATCGTGCTTTTCGTGTTATTCAATTACCATAATTATGTTGTTTGCAGTCACGTCTTAGCTGATAAGTAAATTTTTGTTTGTTGTTAAGTGAAACGGGGATTATTGCACACTTTCGAAGGTACACTAAAGAAAGTAACGAACTGGGGAGCACAGCATCTCAATTTATATCTCCTGTTGTGTTTTTTTTTTGCTTCATAAAACTTCTCGCTAAAGACAAGCTTATAGTGCAGAAACGTCACCATTTCATGTCGACGGAGCCTCCGGACGTTGAGGGCTACGGACTGTTCCAATAAGACACTTGCATACGTGGGCCGTGCAAAGAGACTGCAGTGTTAAAATAAATGGATCATAATTAGTTTGCGTTGCATATATCTACCAATTAAAAATTAAGTGAGTATCAACGGCAGAAATCTTCAGGCCGTAAAGTGAGTGACTGTAACTATATACCCTTTTGTAGCTTTGTTGTTTTCGGACAGTCTTCACGATAAATTTTATACATGAGAAAAACCGTCCTCAAGTGGCACGCACACACAAAAAACATAAAAATGCATTTAAAATACATTTGTACTCTACCACGTAAACTACGAAAAATTGCAAAAAGAAGTGACTGCATAGTGATGACGCCATCGTGAAGTATTCACACGAGCTCGTTATTACGTCATAGACAGTCAGAGCATTTGATAGAGCCCATAGACGAGATTATTCTATTCTCGCATCCGCGCTTATAGCAAGCTGGTATAATCTTGACCAACTATCAGCGTGGACAGCTTAGGGACTGCGTGTTTCATTTTTTACAGCTGATTTACGAGTTGACTCTGGTGGCAAACACGCCAAGAGAATAGGCCGGATGCTATTGTACGTAGCCTATCGTCCCATTTACACCCCAGTCCCACACAGGCGATGAAAAATTCTTATCTGTACATTTATTTATTGGTAAAAATAAATTACACTCCCTTTATTACGTTACGTTCAAAGGGAGCCACAGGTATAACAATGCAAGATTCGAAAACATTTATTAGGCTAACGTGGCTAAAATTTGTGAAAAAGATGCTTTGAAAACTGCAACTATCTGTCACTAACGGCACAGAAAAAGTGAAGCTCACTGTAATAATGATCTTATTCAACGATATGAGCAAGGAAATTAACATATACAAACAAATATGTAGAGAAAAAAGTCGATAGATCCCTCGTACCTTGGGAATTGTTATGCGAAGCACGCGGATGGAAGGTGACCGTTCTATATTTTTTATTGGGTGATACATTATAAAGTAGAGTGTAGAGTAAAGAAAAGAATGTCTACGTGGTTTTTGTTTTGTTTGTCAGTTACGTCTTAAACATTGCATTTTCGATGGAAGTGAAAATGCTGTAGGCTCGTGTGCTCAGATTTGGGTGCATGTTAAAGAACCCCAGGTGGTCATAATTTCCGGAGCCCTCCTACTAAGGCATCTCTCATAATCATACGGTGGTCTGCGCACGTTAAACTCGACATATCAATCAATTACTTCTTAAACGGCGCTTCACTAGGTCAAATTAGAAATTTTGCTTAGACACTGGAAGTTGTTGCGTGCCCAATGGAAAGCTTTGCACCACTAATTTTTTTTAATTGGTTCACTACGAGCCTTGAAAGAATGATGCGAGGATGGAGGCTTGAAATCTTTTCCAGTCGTCCAGTGTAGACTTCGCAAGACAAATTATTTCCGAGCCCTCTTTGGTATCGGAGCAAACTGAAGGTGAAAGATCGCACGACGCAGTCGCATCAACACGTCAGGCGCACGCAAGCTTACATTCGCATGACATGCCCGTGCCAAGTCGTGCAGCGGGATGACGTTGTGCCGTGTCGACGTTCTCTGTGTTGTATACTGCCCGTTTCTGTGGGATGGATCTCTCTATGCGCGCACGTTTGGAAAAGTTGGCAAGGATCATGCTTCCTTACCACGGTACACAGCCTCGCACCGCTGGAACTGCTCTAAGGGATGATGCACCAAAAACACGTCAAGCGTTGTGAATGCTGGCACCGGCACAGTGCGTGAACGGCGAGATGCAAACGAAATCGAGGCAGCTTAGTCTCGCATATTGCTCGACGCGAAGTTAAAATGAATAACGCGCACGGATTCCGTTTGTATGTTTGAGGATTTCTGTCTACGTTGTATACGTCACATCCACCATGTTGGGGGATTTCTGTCTACGTTGTATACGTCACATCCACCATGTTGAGGCGCGCGCCCGAGATATGAAGGTCAAGTGGCGTTCAGTCTGACATTTCACCTCTTTCGGGGCGCGTAGCATTGCACATATTGGCATATGAGATTGTGTACGTCCAGTGCATGCAGACCAAGTTAATACGAGGCAAGAAGACCCTTCTAACCTATTAGCGCTATCGTTATTCGCTCCTGCGTTGCCGTTCTCAACCATGCCGAAAAGACAGAGACGCAGGCAGGCGTGTGTTTATTTGTCGGTGGAAACTTAACTCACCATGTCGAACTAGAAAAGGAGAGACTATTCTGCAAACCCAGATGGAGAAAAATTACATGGCTATGCTACGACCATCATAAGCTAAAGCATTTTTGTTTGTTGTCCGGTCGTAGACACAGATTTCACACTTATGTCATCGAAAATTGGAATTTGTAAAAGTTCATTGTGTCTATATTTATGATATTTGTGGCCTAAAACAGTGTTTTGCATGCCTGATTATTTTTGGCGCATAATTCCTGGTTCTTTTAGTGCCCATAAATCGGCCTCCAGTTATAAGCGTTCGTCTATTCGTTGAAAAGTGGGCTTTATTAAAATAGAACACACTTCGTACATTGCACCTGCAAACGTATTTTGAGAAGTCACTCATCTGTTCAAAACGGTCAAAACAAAGCGAAATGAAGCTGCAGGTAAGAAAGTGGTTGATAAGCCGAATGAAGTGCTTCATAATGATGGATGTCACTTTTGAGTCATGGTTGAAATAGACGAGCGTTACTGTCCGATATAGGCACTACGTTTTCGCTCGACCGAAGATCTGGCCACAGCAACAAACTCTGGGGCAAGAGTATTGATAGCAGTAAAATAGCTACGCTTTGCACAAAGAAAAGTTCGATGGTCGGCAAGGAGCTCTCCCGAATGACTAATAAATTTAAATGAGAGACAGTCAAGAAACACTGATTGAGCTTTTCTTATCGTCCGGCGTTTTGCACGCCTTGAAATGTATGTACAGGCGTGCGTGGACATCGTGATTGCTGCTGCAAATAGAACGACAGCGACTGTGAAGTTCGGCAGAAACACTTCACTGAAGGGCTCGACAGACACTCGAGGGGTCAAACATCGCTTTACAATTTTTACAGTCGCTAAAATAGTAGTGTTGTCCCCCTGTAGGTCGTAGCTCCTGAATCAGACAGCGATATAGAGCTGCTCTTTTTTTGTGGGTGTGAACTGTTGCGCAAGTGCGAAATACAATGACATACGCGTTGTGGCAGCATCGTTGCTGCTCTTTGAACGATAACGACAATCGCTGACCGATAGTGAAAAAGTTGTTTACTGTACCTCAGACAGTTTTTTCTTTCTTTTTTAAGTGTAAGTCCTGGATCAAAGGTTACGTTGATAATCTTATCACGTGCGTTACCAAGGAGTTACTCGCGCGACTAAGATGTTTTGATTAGAAGCTACGTGTGCACCATGGCGGTACGGTATTTATGTGCTTACCGTACCGCATAAACGGGTACTTATTAAAACACGGCCGCGTCAACCAGCGCTCACAGCGCCTTCAACTCCTCGACAACCGCAGGCGGGCTTCCGCGTTTTGCGCGCTGACCTTGGAACGCAGGTCCGCGTGCCAACTGGCAGGGCTTCATCTCTCACGCTATCCGCCGTCGGACTGAGCCTGACCGTATGCAGATTGCTTCTGCCCAGCGATACGACTACTGTCTCGACGCTTTCCAGCGCTTGATCTCTGTGCTGTACACTCTTATCGCAAGGGGAAAAAAATCTGCTTGATGTAAAAGCGCAAAAAGCGTGTGTAACTCTTATTACCTGCGAAGGTGCACAAAGTACCCACACTAAACATGTGAATCCACTTTGCTAAGGCACGTTGTCGGGCTAGTTGGTTGAGATTCATCATTTTCACTGGTATAGCACACCACGACAAGGACACACACAAAGGAGAGATGCACACACACACGCTGTGTGTGTGTGCACATAGCGCTGTGTGTGTGTGCATCTCTCCTTTGTGTGTGTCCTTGTCGTGGTGCGCTATACCAGTGAAAATAATGAATGTGAATCCAACGGGAAGTTAATCCACGTAAATCACAGGGGTAATTATCTGCTTCTTCAATTGTAGTGTGACAGTAATGACTATATGAAAAACAAACTGAAGTGCAAGAAAAAAAAACACTCTTTCCGTCAGTCAGATGTGTAACCACAACCTGCGATTAGCAAGGGGTTTTTTAGCTTGCCCACTTCAATTTCTTACAGTTTATGTCATAATTATTATAATACGGCTAAAGAACAACAAACTATAGCCCATATGCTCCTCCGTGGCTTAATTCCATGTGTTTTCTAACAAGGAAACGGGTTTTCGGGAAAAAATTGCCCTCCCTTGGCTACGTCATGTGCTAAAGCTCCGTGCGAAGCCCAGGAAGAAAAAATGACGCTTACGTTTCAGACGACGGCAGAGTTTCTTGCAGGCTAGGCGGAAGCAGAGGGTGCGGTAGCTTCACAGCAGGAGCACGATCGCGGTGCAGAGGAGCTACGCTCACGACTAAATTAGTAATAGAACCATATGCAACGTCCGGACATTTATACCGCTACACTCAATAAATCCGGTTTGAATAACGCATGTTATCCAGTTTCGGTTTCGCTTTTGTTAATGCTAGTGTTACCTGCTGCATTGGTCTATCGCAAACCAATATATGCACTGTATATTTTCGAAAACTTCTGGTGTGTTAAGAAGAATCGATACTCGAGGGCTGTAAATTCAATGACTTGTGGATGCGTTTGAGTTAATTAGCTTGATTCGGCAGTGGAGACCTCCACCGTATTGCACATTTTAAGGATTGCGGTAGCTTCTGAGAAACCATATGCACGGACGATATTCATTACTAACGACTATCGATGCCTGTTAAATATACGCAGCAACATATGATGAAGCACGGATTGGACAAGAAGTATTAAAACTAATACGCCTATACGTTCTCAGTCACTGCTCACATAGCGGTACGAGTTTTTTGCAAACGCCGTCATATTTAAATGACTAGCTCCATATCGAAGAACGCATAGGAAAGTCAAGGGAGCCGAGATCTGCGGAATAATGGTTATATTAAAAGTTATATCAATGATAATTGCAG